CCTTCCTCTCTGTAAAAAATCAATAAAATATATTTTGAAAATAAAAACAAATCATTGGTGAAATAAAATCATTCCTTTGCATACTCTGAATTCCCTTGCTTTCTCTTCATTGTACTAAGTAAATCCTGATTAAGTTTAGTGTTCAGCTCTGACTACACCTGCAGTGAAACCTGGCTTGAGAAACACACACAACCACGTTGATTGGTCTCTCTTGAACACGTAACTAAATGCAATTGGACTCTAATGGTGTTTGGCAGCCATATCCAATTTCTCTACTCCATTCATTCACTTCTATAAAACTATCTTCTAAAACCTCCAATAACTCCTCCTTAATCCTCACTCTCAGCTAATGACCTACCTAATTTCAATGAGAAAATGCCTTTCTAAAAAAACTTCCAGGAGCTCCCATGACATCGCCTTCCCTACCCGCATTTGTCCCCATATTTTTTGCCTTCTATCTGTGCCCCTGGCTAACCAGCTACTCCACTTGTGCACCATATACTATCCCCTCTTGGTTACTCAAAGACATTGCTATAGAATTTCTTCTCCATCATAAACCTTTCCCTCTCTTCCAGATCCCAATTGACCATTATTTCTCCCTTCTAAAAAAAAAAAAACAAAAAAAAAACTAGCCAATACATCCAGCCAGTCCTCTCTCCTTCATAAAATGACATTGTTTGTTGTGACAGTTTGTTTATACTTATTAAATTTTGGCTTAATTCTGAATGGTATCCTATGCAAACATGTTTCAGTTTGGATTGTAAATTGTGGTTAGCTTACCTTTCAATATAAAACTCCTTGAAGGTGCCTATGTTCTCTCCAGTTTTTCATCTTTCAGTCTCTCCTGTGCCCCACTGCAAACAGGTTTGATCCTATTTGCATTGAAACTGTCTTCAAGTTCACCAAACATGTCCATGTTGTTAAATCTAATTGTCAACTTTCACTCCTCATCTTTTTTATCTTTGAGCAACTTTTAACATAGCCAATCATTTCTCCCTTTTTAAAACAATTTTCCTACCTCCCTTTTAGGACATACTGTCCTGATTGTCCTCCTGTCACTGCTTGTGGGCATCCGGTCCTGGTTCTTCCTCACCTGTCTGTCCTATAAACACCCATGTGGCAAAGAGGCGTGTCGAAACCTCTTCTGCTTTTTATCTACTTATTCTACTTAGGGAAGGAGCTAGAATCCCTCACACTTACACAGTTACACAAGAGATGTGCTCTAGTAACAACAGATGATTCCCAACTTTGTCCAAGAAGTTATCTGCAGGGATTTTGTTTGCTGAAGGTAGTGTGCGATCACAGCACAGTTGCTCAGGTCAGGAATACATATCAATCCTAGTCTTATCTTTTACACAACTAATCCAATTCCTCAGCAGATGCACCTTCAAAATATATCAGGCACCATCCACTTCTCAATTCTGCTCCTTTAATAGCTCCATCCCTATTCTTTTCAGTTGTGAATGTCACACGAAGTACTCCCTTACTAGTATACGTTTTGTCCAAAAACATAAACTAATAATTTTAATGCCTTAATCTCTTAAATTATATAGAAAATAAAATGTCATTACAAAAGTTATTACTAGCTTTCAGACTAGCAGTTTTTTTAAATGTCTCAAATCTTGTAGAAAAAGTAGTTACACCATTATAACCTTTTATAACTGCTTATGCCTATACTAGCATTTTTACTTCTTCATATGATGCTGAGTTGTCTAATGTCCTTGCATTTCAACCTTTGTTTACTTTGTTCTTACGATAATATTCATTACTGATGACAATGCTTCTGAGGATACAAACTTCGTTGAAGCCTTTTGGAAAGGAGTTTTGATCATAGAAAATTCATGGCCTTTGATGGAGTTATTCTTCTTTTGGGAATCTATCCTAATAATCCAACATGTAAATAATGTTTTGGCACAAAAGTGTTCAGTACTATTATTTATAATAGTAAAACATTGGGAAATCCCAAATGGTTAATACAGCAATTATTAAATTTTAGTAATCTACTCAATAAAATATAAAGAACTCAGTGGCACGGTGAAGCTAATATGCATGGTATAGCAACGATGAGAAGTATTTCATGATTACATAAATGCAAATGCCAATTTGTGTAACTAGAAAATGAGAAGTAACATTAACAACAAAAATACTTAGAATGCTCATAAGATATATTGAGAATATATTTTTGAACTAGTGGACAATCCAAGCAATTATACTAAATAAAAAAGGGAAACAAGAGTATAAGAAGGTTGTGGTAAGTGGAATAATGGTACCTACCTCCATTCCCAGTTATATGTTGTTGTTTTACAGGACAAAAGGAACTTTGCAGTGTATCTTTTTATATTATTTGTGCTTCAGTTTCTAAAATTGGTGACATTATAATGGCCACCAGACATAACGGAACTACACAAAAGGTGGATCAAAAGGAAGTCAAAGATGAAGCCTACTCAGCCAATATATTAACAAGAAACTGAATTCTGAAGGCAAAAGGGAGGGAGGGGACTTATTAGACTAGAGACCTGATGCACAAAATTTTTGTGAGTAGGCCTTCCTTCCTCCAGCTGCCAGCATGGGCTTCCATCTGGCACCCGGGACCCAGGCTTCCCTCACAGCCCTGGCTTCATCCAGAAAGTCATCCAATCTAATTAGCATATTACACTTTTATTATTATAGATACGGGGGAAATGACAGTGTTAACTAGACTCCCACTAAGATAATAGAAAAGGCTTAAATACATTACAGTAATCCTCAAATATGTATGCTAACGCAAGGTCCTATCATTTTTAATATACTTGGCTTTTGCATGTTTTTATATTGATATAATAATATGGGAATATCTTAAGTTCTAGAAATTTATAGAAACAGGATATTAAAAAGTTGCTTTATTTGCTCATTTTTTATTCCTCTTTAAAACTCTTTTACCTTTAGAGCTCTAATATTTACTATAGAAAAATCTTGTTTGACTGCAAGGAATGGAGAAAATAAAAATAAACCAGAGAAGCACCAAATCATTATCATATCAATGCTAATAATGCTAATAAGAATTATGAATACTGGTATACTGAATTCAGACAAATGCTAAGATGCCAATTAGTTTTATAGAAATAAAATGTTTCCAATAGCAATGAGTGCCCTATTAATATCAAAATTGAAATCAAGATTTGAATTAAAAAATTTAAATCTTCACCTGAGGACATTTTCATTTTTAGAGAGAGGGGAAGGTAGTTAGACAGAGACAGACTGATAAACATTGACTGGTTGCCTCTAGTATATGCCCCGTCTCCAAAATTTCTGCAGTGTTTGGGACCATGCTCCTACCAACTGAGCCACAAGGGCAGAACTCAACAGGTATACTTTTTGGGCATATCATTATTTATAAAAATTCTGAATGTGCCAATTTTTGCATATTAAATTGGAGAATTTCTGTGTATATATTTTTTGCTTAAGGCTTTAATTCATATGATACACCAAAGTGAATTCTTTTCATGGATCTTTCTCAAGTGCTTCATTATAATTTTGTTCAACATGTTTCCTTGCACAAGATTTGTTCAGTGGTTACTTTTTAATGTTCCTGCTCTGATTTAACCGTACATCTATTTTAATTGGAGTGATTTTAAATATTGTGAAAGATGGACTTTGATAATACCCTATAAATTTATTTCACCCATATCCTACATGGATTATTTTAAACTCTACTTATTTAAAACTTTATTCACATGCCTATGTCTTTAAAAATATTCCTATTTACTCTTGATCACATTTATGATGCAATATTTGAGTTCTTTTTTGTCATACCAACAAAAACAATTCTGCTCAATTATCACAAGAAAAAGTTTAATCACCTCATTGTACTCTCCTAACCACCATACACCAAGTATTTCTTCACCTAATCAATTTCTTCACATAAAAATTAATAAAGTGAAGAATGAGAAATTTTATTTACCAGTCAACCAGTTAAGTATAATATCTAAAGAATGACTTGACTTTTGATTAGTGATACAAATTGAAAATAAAATCTAATTGATAAGTGTTGCTTTTTTTGTCCAAATATTTTTTCACAAGTTTTTTAAAACCAGGTTACTCTTCTTGGTAATTTAGATAGCTTTTTTATTCTAAGATCAAAAATTATCATTCATGTTTTATATATAAATAGGAAAGACATTAAGTTGATTTCACATTTTTCTTTAAATTTTTCTATTAAAAGTTTCAAATTCTCAAACCTGCCAAGACTACACAGAAGTATTGGTAACAGATATGCTGAATTCCAATATTGTAACATTAACATGAATTTCTTTCCACTTTATGATAATCCATTAGGTTAATATCTAATTGTTTATAAAAACCATCATGCTTACTTTATGTGCTTCATGTTACCATAATTTTTGTATTTCTCAATAAAAACTGCAAAACATTTATGAGAATTTATAATTCAATGAATTAGTGTTATAAAAGCATTAGTATATTTATGTTTTTATATCTTATGTGATTTCAACTTTCAATATTTTATATATTCTAAAAGGAAACTAAAACAAGTTCAAAATCTACTTTCCTTAGCATCTCTAGGCATAAGCTAACATGAAATCGTTTGCACTTTAAGGAATTAGACACAACGGATCCTGTGTATCAGTCAATTTCTCAAAATCAAAAACTTTCAGCCATTACTCTTTGGGCCTCTTTTCCATTCGGTTTAGCTGATGGGACAGGCATATCTTGACAGCCACAACACCATATGCCACAATCAAAGCCAGATGACATTCTGGCACCTAGTAGTGTTATCAAGTGATATGCTAATTTTGCTTTGTGATGGCCTGTGATAAATTAAGCAGAAGTTCAGCTATTCAAAATTCTGAAGAACACAATCTGGCAAATTTCTCCAACCCCAACCCTTTTCCCCAAAGACACAAGGAGACTGATCCTTTTAGTCACCATCACCTATTTTTCTGTCTACGTTCTATTTCCCCTCAGTCCAACTGAGAGGAAGAACTCAATACCTGAAAACATCCTTGATACCTCCTCCATTTTATTCAATAAATTTATTGAGTACCTGCGATGTGCCAGGCACTGTATGAGGCATAAGGAATACAAAGTTCAACAATGACAACACAAACATAATTCCTGTCCTCACTGTTACAATCTAGAGGATCTACATTAATCAAATACATATAAAATTAAAAAGCTGTTCAATGCTAATTGGAGGTATATGTTCAGGTGACAATGTGTCCAAGCAGTTTTGCTTTGTGACAGAAATTAGGGAATGAGCCGAGATATGACAGACAAATATGAATGAACCAGGCAATGAGTAGGGGAAGGTATTTTAAGCCAAAGGAATAGCATGAGCAGTTTCCAATGTGGAAGAATTACTCTATTCTCACTTATTCCAGATACTTAAGTAGAACACAAAGTAACTGAAACGTGATACACAATGAGGCTAACTAAGCAGTAGTAACAATAACTAGCTCCTGAGTGCTTTTTTAGGTGATGTGTCAGCCAGTTTTAATTTTATGAGGTATTACCTCTTCTAATGCTCAGAGTTATTCTATAAAGTAAATGACAGACCTAATATATGTGAAATCATAGGTCACATAATATTTTTGTTTTCATCTTAAGAGCAATGAAAAGTCATTGAAGTGGCTTAAGCTGGGATAAGAATGAGTAGGTTGCCTTATGTCCTGTGTTATTTCAAAAACGAGAACTCTGCCTGAATATAGAGAATGAATTGCAGTAGGTTCAGAGTAGCTGTAGGAAGACCAGTTAGGAGGCAATCCAAGTAATGCAGGCCAAACATGCTGATGGTAGCTTAGATTTAAAAGGTGGTGAGAATTGAAGACAAGTGGACAGCTTTGATAGATGTTTGCAAGATAAAAAGACAAAGAGGCAATAAATTGAGGGAGGAAAGGAGGGGAGGAATGAGAGAGGAAGAGATAGAGACACGAAATTAAAATGCAAAACATGATTATCATTTCCTTCCTCTGATCAATAAATTCTATGACAGAGATTTAGAAAATTTCTTTTCAAGATATGGCAACTTTATTTCTAATATGTGATTTACTTCTATACTTTTCACACCACCAAAAAGATTGGGATTCACTTAGTCAATCAAAAATCCTCCCACTATCTTATACATAGTTTGCATAATACATCTCTCTTTATCTCTCTTCCCCTCTCTGTCTCACACACACATAATAAAAAGTATTATATCTTTAAAAGAAAAACAGATAAAAGACAGTGATTTTCCCCACCCCTGTTAAAATATGTAAATTAATGACCAAAGTAAAATAAAAGCACATAACTGGGATTTAAATCAAAAGAGCAAGTAATTAACTGTGATTTCAGTAAAGTCAATTGTCCTTTCTGAGCCTTGGGGTTTTTATTTAACTTCTAAAATGTGAATAATACCTACCTCCCGGGTTTTCTTGAGGGAATTACATGAGATAGTAAATTTTAAATCTCTATAAAAATAGTACTTACTATAAATTTTTTAAAAATCCAACATAGCAAGTAGAATGCTCAGATCCACATAAATTATCATATCTACTGTTTGTATGATTTTCTTAAGATGGCCAATGGAAAGGAATAAGACAAACATTTGGCTTCCATAAGACTAAACAAGTATACCACAAATTTAAAATTTCTATAGAACAAATGGGTCAATCCTGAGAAACACTGTCAGCTCTGAAGAAGTTAATGTCCTGTCAAATCCGTTTTTCTATATGAAAGACTGTATACCTTGAATATACTCCTATAAATCAAAAGTACTCTACGAAGAATATTAGCTAATTTAAAAATATTGAATTAGACCTTTGTTCTTAATCTAAGACCATTACATAGTTTTAGATTAACACAGTTTAACATAATTTTTAAATACTTTGAGGTAAAATATTCACAATTTAAATCTGTTCTTTGCTGTATCCTCAGTTCCCAAAACAAGGCCCGTATTTGAAAGTCATATCAATGAAGTGGATGTTACAGAAGAAAAAACTCGTACTGTTTTAAATAAAGTCCAAGTCACTCCAACATTTAAGTAAATGAAGCCTGTATTCTCCTCCAAGTACTCAGACATAGAGATGGCTGTGCGTCATGCCAACAAGCAAAGCACCATAAAGTGTCGAAACATGGTTTAACATTTTCAAGTACCTTACAGAAAAAGTAGTCCAGCTGTTTCATGTTCTCTCTTGGATATATTTATGTTTAAGAATGCAAATTTTAAAATAGACTATCTATTTAAGTCTGTTTAATTATATCACAAATATACTTTAAGTCTTCAAAATCCTCTCCTGCTTAACTAGGAACTTTTATTTCATAATGCATGAAAGAGATTCTCTCTCATGTTGGCTTCAACCTCAACAATTCCTAGAAAATAGAATTCAAAAATTTACCAATCACTTTTATTATAGAAGACAGTATATATAATATATCACAAAGAACTTTAATCAAAACTAGCTATATAAACTGGGTATGTGCAAACAACCACCTAATCTGATACTTTAAGAATGGTATGAAATTTTTTTGAATGTATAAATTAAATACTCTGAAAACTTTACTCTTAAATAGAGAAAAGATAAAGGTAAAGAAATAATATAAATCGAATGAATTAAATTCGTAGTTATAAATGCTGCCAAATTTAGAAGGATAGTTACTCTTACTTCTAACGAATGTTTTGAAGAATGTACAAGTAATGCTTTTTTATGAGACTGGCGCGCTACCTACTGCACTAACGAGGCACCTAGTAATGCTTTTTTAAATCAGTTGGCCATATACTCTAAAGTTTTGCTTTTTTAAAGTTTGTGCTTTTTATTTTTACACTTGTACCATTTTTTGTGGCAAATTATAGCCTCAATTTATACATTTTACCCATCATTTAAAATGATTTATTTTTCACATTTCCAAGTTACTTCAGAAGTCCAATAGGGTGATTTGCCAGAATTTTCAAACCCAGAATTATATAATTTATAGTCTGACTGGACTTTTTACAGTAATTAAATACTCATAGATATAAGTACATTATTTTAAAACATTTAAAAAGTAAGCCTTTTATTTTACATTAGCCCTAAAAACATTTGAATCTTTGTAAATCATAGTAATCATTAACAGAGTGATAAATTCAATCATCTGTGGAACACAACAGGTTTTCATTTTTCTTTTTTTTTTAAATGCCTATAGTGTGATATCAAAATTAGGAAATGACATCTTCATGAGGCATGTAATTACTTTACAGTATGTGCTGACTTCCCTATATCACACCAGTTTAAAAGAGGGTTAACAAACACAAAACAATCAAAAGATGGTAATGCCCGTACCTAATACTTCCTAAACTAGCTTTGGACTGGTCACCACTTCATCACATACCATTTAATTTTATTGTCTTTTCATGAAATGGAAATTCACTCGGTAACATCACATTATAAATATAACCTCTCAACTCCAGAGCTATAATTTGGGTTTTGAATGCCACTCCTGCTCTTCAACTGTCATCTTCTTTATATGATGAAGGAGAGCATCTTTCTCCAGGTGAGCCTCTGCAAGAGCCATTTTAGCTTTAGCCAATTCCTGCTTAAGAGATTCATTCTCTTCCATGAGCTGAAATGATAAATTTGAAAAATCAGAGAATTTAATCATTTTCACAAAATATAGACAATTTATATGATATATCAGATAAAGGTGTGACACTTGGAACAGAAAAATACCCAGTGCTGGCAAGGGTACACTTGTGCTGAAATCTGCTTTGAGAAGCTATTTGGAAACACATATCAAGCCCTTAAAAATGTTCATAAGTACTGACCCCACAATTCAAAACACTAATTAAAGCCTACTTTCTAAATCTAGCAGTGAATTAATCTAACTCTAATTTCCCTGGACCTTTTTGTGGCTTTAGACACTGCGGACCTCTCCTCTCCTTCCTACATGTGTCTCCTCTCTGCCTTTTCTGCCACGCTCTTTCATGTGTATCCCTCTCCACATATGGACTTTTTATCCTTTCCTCCACTATGTAGGAACCCTTATATTTTAATGTTCTGTTAGCTTCCTTTATCACTGAGTCACTCTCTTATGTGATCTCATGTACTCCTGTGGCCTGATCCAGCATCAACCACTCTCAAGCTTCAGTCCCACATTCTGAATCTTATTAGACATTTTTATCTAGATGGCTAATAGGTCTCCCCTCCTCATTAAGACTCAGTTCAAGTATTTTATTCTTAGGGCAGTTTCTTAACCCCTAATTATGAAGATTTGATAAAACTAAGTACTTTCTCCCCAGATAAATGAATTTACTAATATATGAAAATATTTGCATTTAATTTCAAAAAGTTCTCAGATTTTCTTGGGTAAAGTTTAAGAATTCCTGCCTTATGAACCAAGCTGGGTACTTGACTGTCCTCAATTGCTAGTATAGCATTACACAGTATGTGGTAACCAAAATTTACACACCCATCTTTCCCACTAGTCTTTTGAGTTTTTCAATAGGTAAGAGTGGTATACTGTTTAATTCTATATCCTAGCTCAGAACTGACATCCAACAAATCCTGTTGAACAGATGAAATAGCTCATTCTGTGATTCTATCATAGAAAATTAAACTTCTGCTGGACATTTTATTTATAGTGGCAAAAAATAAGCAACTCAAATGTTAACAAATGTTACGAGGAAGGTTTAAAAATGACAGTACATCCACATCCATATTACCCTGTCATTAAAATAAATATGAAGCCCAAGTAGCAATATCCAAAAATAATTGTTAAACAATGCTAAGTAAAAAAAATACAATATGTACACTAGAATAACCACCATTTAGGAAAATTATGGAAAAGAGCCTAGGAAGAAAATAAAGTAGTACTAAAAGCACTGTAAGATGCCAAAACCGGTTTGGCTCAGTGGATAGAGCATCGGCCTGTGGACTGAAAGGTCCCAGATTCAGTTCTGGTCAAGGGCATGTACATTGGTTGCGGGCACATCCTCGGTGGGGGTTGTGCAGGAGGCAGCTGGTCGATGTTTCTCTCATCGATGTTTCTGGCTCTCTCTCCCTCTCCTTTCCTCTCTAAAAAAACCAATAACATATATTTTTTTTAAAACAAAAATAAAAATAAAAGCACTGTAGGTTAAAATATATTAAAGTTGCTTTAAATCTTTTTATGAAATATTATAATATTTTGCAATTTAAAAATAAGACATCAAAATGAAAATGTTGACCAGGACGTGTTCCTGGATTCCAGAAGCCAGCACTCTTCCACATTCACTCCTCTGTCTCCCCATTAGACTACAACCCCTCTGAAGGCTGAGCCTGTCCCTATCTTGCTCAACATTAGAACCCTCACTACGTGGGCGTTCATGACAGGTACTCGGTAAACATTACTTAGAAAGTAAATAACTTCGTAATTATTTAGTACCTAACATTTATTTTAATTACTGAGACTGAATGAGAACGAATTAGTTTTCCCCGTTACCTGTTCCCGAGTGAAGTTAAAGGAGCGCTCAGGAGCCTCTGGACTTGTCTGAGTGGCTTGAGTGACGCTGTGCTGTTTCTTCAGATCATACTTTCCACTGGAAAGCTGCACTGATCCACTTGTGACATTTTCTTTCAAATCATTGCCAGTGTTAAGCATCTGAGAATCTGAACAAGTAAAATGCTCAGATAAAACATTTTCAAATACTTGATAAATCTTAACTTTTATTGTGAAAAACAAATTTTAAAATGAATACATATCTATTAGTATGAAGACATTATGAAATAGAAAAAAACAATAAAGTGAATACAATCAAAAGCTCATTCATTGTATAAAAGAACAAAATTGACAAAACTTTTAGTTAGACTGACAAAAAAAAGAAAGAAATTAGAGTTAGAAATAAAACATGGGACATTACTATCAGCCTTAATGAAATAAAAATTATTATAAAGGAATACTATTGTATGAACAACTGTATTCTAATAAAGATAACTTAGATGAAACAGAAAAATCTCTAGGAAGATAAACTTCCAAAATAGACTATAGAAGAACTAGACAATGTGAATAGACATGTAACAGTTAAAGAGATTCGATCAGTGGAAAAAAACTACCCATAAAGAAAAGCTTTCAATTGTGAAGTCTACCAAACATTTAAAGAAGAATGAATACCAAATCTTTACAATCTCTCCTAAAAAATAGAAGAGGAAAACATTTCTCAGTTCATGCTATGAAGCTAGTATTACTGATTCCAAAATCAGACAAAACTAAAATCAAAATGCTGGCCAAAACCGGTTTGGCTCAGTGGACAGAGCATCGGCCTGCAGACTGAAAGGTCCCAGGTTCAATTCCAGTCAAGGGCATGTATCTTGGTTGCGGGCACATCCCCAGTAGAGAGTGTGCAAGAGGCAGCTGATGGATGATTCTCTCTCATCGATGTTTCTAACTCTCTATCCCTCTCTCCTCCTCTCTGTAAAAAAATCAATAAAATATATTTTAAAAAATATTAAAAAATAAAATAAAATCAAAATGCTCATAAATATAAACACAAAAATCCTCCACAAAATATTAGCAAATCCACGTATATAAAAGCGAAGCAACCAGAACAATGGAACAACCGGTTGCTATGACTCAATCAGGGTCCAGATCAGGGCCCTCTCCAGGGCCAACTGCCTGAGGCCCCTCCTCCTCACCAGCCCAGCCTAATCAGCTCCCATCAGGGTGGCAGGCCGGACCCCATCTGTGCATGAATTCATGCACCAGGCCTCTAGTATAAAAATAATTGTACACCCTGGCCAAGTGGGATTTATCTCAAGAATGCAAATTTGACTTACTATCAAAAAGCATAATACATCACATTAATAGAATAAAACAAGTCACATGATTATCTCAATAATTTTTAAGATAAAAAAAATGTTTTTTAGCAGAAAAAACATCTGATAAAATCCAACACTTTCTCATGATAAAAACACTCAGAATTAGAAATAGAAAGGAATTTCTCAATCTGACAATAGCTAGCTACAAAAAACCCACAGCCAATATCTCTCTACTTAATGGTATAAGACTAAATGTTATTTTCCTAAGATCAGAAATAAGATAACATATAACAATGTCCTAGAGCAGTGGTCGGCAAACCAAGCTCCTGAACCACATGCGGCTCTTTGGCCCCTTGAGTATGTCTCTTCCACAAAATACCATGGCCGGGGCGAGTCTATTTTGAAGAAGTAGTGTTAGAAGAAGTTTAAAAAATTGGGCTCTCAAAAGAAATTTCAATTGTACTGTTGATATTTGGCTCTGTTGACTAATGGGTTTGCCGACCACTGTCCTAGTTAGATAAGACAATTAGGCAAGAAAAAGAAACAAAAGGCTCTCCCTTCCCCCACCTAAATCAATAAAATATAAATAAACAAACAAACAAACAAATAAATTCTGGCCCACTAATGGTATTTAATGTTCTTTTTTAACATATTTTAAATGTTAAATGCATTTGATGAGATTTTGGTAGGCAATGCATGCATATATCAGTGCCTCATATTTCACTCTGAAGTAGCTACTAACAATTGAGGAATAGAACACCTAAGTCTATGGACTCAAGCTCTTTCTACTACTCCACACTACCTTAAAAGATATAATCCTTACATTAGAGACCTTAAAAATATAGCTAGAATGGATATACTAGTAGACATTAAAGCAGAACTAAACACATGGCAATATATCATTAAGTATAAAGTGAAACTCCAGAGAACCTTGGGAGAAAATGAACAGTTATACTGAGGAATAACAAGCAAATAAGATTATAGAGGTGGGAAAGTGGAAGACAAATTCCTACACAGAGAGTATAACAGGTCGGTTGAGCAAATATACAAAAATTGTGGGAAGCAAAGCTAGGAAAGATATCAAATAAGAGATCCAAGAAAGATCAAGAGACATGAAACCTCTCCCACTTTCATTCAAAACACATTTGTAGGGTAGGTATTAAATCAACTGTAGTAGAGTTATTTCCGAGGTAGAGATCCATACATGGGTAATATTTTATTACAATGTAGTAAAAGTATCCCTCAATCATCCACATCCTACATATGTGTACACATACAATGGTAGTATGAGTGAAAAGAAACAATCAGCATGTAAATAATGTAATTCCAAATTTCAGAAGGTATTCACTTAAATTGTATTTCATATATACCTCTGATATGAAAAGAGCCATCGTCATTTCTCTCTACCATAAGATGATCAATGTGAATGGCTACAGGAGCTGGTTCAATTGATACTGTACTACTACGAGGACTGTCATCCTACAGGAAAGAAATATAGTATCAGCATGTTGTTATTTAAGTAAAAGATAAAATCAATATAATTATTTTCTTAATATATATTACTTCAGTCAATATTTTTAATGAGTTAAAAATGTAATACAGAGAAAACTGCCCATTCTATTTTTATATTGTTTAATTTCAATGAAGAATCTCCACATCATTCACTATAAACACCAACACATTCATTTCAGTGCTGACAAAGTATATTACAGATAAGGCATATTCTCAGGCATGAATCCGAAGTTCAGGTAGGCAAAGTTAACATGTATAATATGAAAATGTGAAAATATTTATTGACATACTTTTAAATTTATTTTTGTGTTAGAAACTTGTATCTTCATTGGCATCACTGTTGCAACAGTATCATCTTCCAAAAAATGTTGAATATTCGTAAGAGAAGATGTAAGAAACTCAGTGCTAAAGTTTTCTATATGGCATTGAAGAAATCCATTTTTTTCTGCAAGCAAAGAATGTATTACAGCACCAGGCCCACTTTCAAATCTCAGAGTAATCTCAGGAGAGGATTTGGAATGAATAACAGCTTTATGCTCAGAACCTACGGAAAAAGAACATGTAAAAATTGTAACTTGCAGTACTACTCAAAATGTCAGTCTTATATGTCATTAGAGGTTACAATCATTTTGTACAATGGGAAAGCAATAATAAAGTTTTAATATTCACCCTTAATGTAAGTGATAGTTACAATACTTATACAACACTAGTGCCCCGTTGCACAGATTCGTGCACATGGAAAGGAAATTAATTAGAAGAAAGGTTCATGTGGTAATTACGTTACTGAAAAAAATTATGTCAAAGTAGTATATATAAATTATGTCAAAGTAGTATATATAATATAGTATTATAAAATTAAAACACGAGTGATTGGCACCGGCGTGAGCTTTATATGTATTGATACCAGTTGGTTGAAGAATAAATCGTGATGTGGTTCACGTTAATGTCAACAAAAACAACCAAATTCGCAATCAACAATGACAGATCGAAACATACACATGCAACTGGCACCAGCAAGAGCTTGATATGTATCATGCATGTGCGAGTCAATGTTTGTTTGTTTAATTTATTTATTTATTTTAGAAGAAAATGTCTTTATGTCTCTGGAATAGGAAAGTGTTTCTTTTTTTATTATTTTTTTCTTTATCGATTAAGGTATTACATATGTGTCCTTATATCCCCATTAACCCCCACACCTCCTCAATGTTTATTTTTAAATTGCCAGTGAGTGTCATATGTACCAGTCAGCCGGTAGGTTGGAATGGTCAGATAGAAAGATAGATAGATAGACAGGTAGGTAGGTAGGTAGACAGATAGATAAATACCATATATAATCCTCATTTCCTATTTTATAGACAACTTTCTACTGCAATAATGTTCATTTGTCTCTATTTTCTACTTTTTGGTAACATGAAACAACATACTACCATGATATAAATCTGACATCATATAGATATATATATATATAATACTTTCAACAATAAAGATTTCATAAAAAAGAAAAGAAAAAGAAATTTGATATCATGCATACCTCAGATACTTAAGAGTGTCTCTGGATTTGTACCTATCTACAAATTTGTAATATAATGGACGATGGTCAAGAAGAAACAATCATGGCATTTAAAATGACTACTAAGACATTTCTCAAGAAGTAACGAAATGGCTTTGCACCTTCCTCATTAAAACTGGGAGTTAAATATTTATATTTATTTATGCCTTGGCCTTGGTAGCTTAGAGAAATATAAATATGAGAGTTAAAAAACAAATTTTAAAACTTCATTAAAGCACCCAAAGAATATCCGATTTAAAAAAAGAAAAGTTTCTAGTAGAACTACTGAAGTGAATTGGCCCTTCTGGTAACTATTTTGTTTATTTTACTTTATCCAGCTCTAAAAAGAACAGGAGGAAACATGCACATGCCAGGTCAAAAGTAAGCAATAGAAAAATAAGGACAGAAGGGAAAAAATAGGTAGGAAGGTTAATAACTCAAAATGCATTTTTTAAATTTCTATATCAAAATCAGACCAAAAACGAGCTTTCTAGCAACAAAAAGAAAAAGACCATCCATTTCACAATTCATAAAACCCATGAGTTAAAAACAAACTAATTGTTCTGGAAAGGCCAAGAGGTATCAATTGTTGAGGAGCCAAAGTTATCTGTCCCAAGGGTCCACATAAGAAACCCCACTAATTAAGTTCATGGTGAAAAATGTTTATTTTCCCTCAGCATGAGTGTGAATATGTACTTAGATATGTTAGTATTTCCTATATCAAGAAGAATAAGTTAACACGTAAAGCGCCAACCCTGTTTTGTCTTCCTTTCCGTTTAGCCATGATATCCGATTTCACCAATATGCTGGCTTCTGGAGACTGATGAGGTCAAAACGGAAAGTATAGTGTCAGTCACTGGTGACTGACATGGCGCTTAATGTATTAATTAACTTGTCTGTCCTATATAATAAAAGCCTAATAAGCAAACTGACAAAACGGTAGAATGACCGGCTGCTATGAGAGCACTGACCACCGGGGGCAGACGCTCAATGCAGGAGCTTCCTCCAGCCCACAGGCCCCAGGCCAGTCAAGGCGGGTCCAGCTAAGGCAGGTCACAACCAAGGTAGGTGCCAGTGGGGCCCCCCCATCATCCCACCCCAGGGAAATCAAGTGGCAGGGCCAGCTGGTAAGCAGGCTGAGTGCCAACCCCCTACTGCATCACTGGGGGGGACGGGGAGGAGAGGGGCGGCCACAGGACCAGTAAGCTGGCCAAGGCAGGTGCCATTGGAGGGCCCTTCCCCTGGGGTGATCAGAGGGCGGCTCCAGCCCACTCACTGGCCAGCCCCTCCCCCTTGATTGCTGCACCACTGCCACTGGTCGCCTGTCTGTGGGGCAACTGGTGGGGTGAAGGGGGTGGGGGGTGGGGGGAGGGATGGGCACCTGCCTTGGCTGGCCTAGGGCCTGCGAGATGGAGGAATCTCCTGTGTTGAGCGTCTGCCACCTGGTGGTCAGTGCACATCACAGCAACCAGTCATTTCACCTGTCATTCTGCCCATTCGTCGATTTGCATATTAGGCTCCTATTATATAACGTGGCAAATTTATCTGCAATTCCCATGATGTGAAGTGACAGCATACTTATTTGATATCAAGACTATATGTACTTGAACATGTTATCTATCAGATACATCATTGTGTATACATAGCAAAGAAAAACATTACAGGGCTGTAATTTTAAACATTTTAAAACTTCAATATTATCATTTTAAATTCTTAATATAACTATTCTATTAAGTCATTTCCTCAAATGACTAAAAACCAAAAATACCTTTATTTAAACTTTGAAAAGGGGATTTGAAAATGTAGCTTCCTCTTCATACCCTGCATGTTTTTTGTTTATACCCCTCTATGTCCAAGGGAGAGTGTTGATCTTAGAATAAAGAACAAGAACAGGATACATGATTTTTCCAAATACCGGGTATTTGGAAATGTTTGCTTATAACTATGAAATATAGAAATTGACATTTATTCTAGTACTAGAGGCCTGATGCATGAAAATTCTTGCAAGAGTAGGTCTTCCTTCCCCTGGCTACTGGCACCAGCTTCCCTCTGGCACCTGGGACCCAGGCTTCCCTCCTCCAGTTGCTGGCAGGCAACTGGAACGTGGGCTTCCCTCCTCCGGTTTGCCTCAGGCAATCGGGACTGCGCTTCCCTCCCTCTGGCTGGCCACATGCACCTGAGATCCGGACATCGGGTCTTTCAGGTCTAATTAGCATACTACCCTCTTATTAGTATAAATGGACCTACGTTTGAACTTTTAGAATTACTATATCACTCTTTTCATATGGAAAGAACTCAGTTTTCTCAGACCCTTATCTCAAAAAATGGGAAGACTGAAAAAGTAAGACAGAACTTAATAGAAGAAACAAACAAAAAAAATTATTAGAGAATACATCAACAGATTATATTCCTAAACTTAATCAACATGAAAATAAGGCAATGTGAAACAAGTAGCTAATGTAAATGTAATTTTTCTTGAATTCATTTATATGGTAACTAGTGACCTGGTGCACAGATTTGTGCACATTGAAAAAAAAAATTAGCCAAAACCAGTTTGGCTCAGTGGATAGAGCCGTCGGCCTGGGGACTAAAAGGTCCCAGGTTCGATTCCGGTCAAGGGCATGTACCTTAGTTGTGGGCACATCCCCAGTAGGGGGTGTGCAAAAGGCAGCTGATCGGTGGTTCTCTCTCACGGATGTTTCTAACTCTCTAACCCTCTCTCTTCCACTCTGTAAAAAATCAATAAAATATATATATATTTTTTAAATTAGGTTGCCAACGGGGCAGTACTTGAGACGAGACCAGCTGGACAAGCCCTGGAGCCAACCTTCCACAGTCCCTCCCTCCCCTGGGGTGACGCTGTGGCTCGAAGGGCATCTGCAATTAGTGGGGTCCCTCTGGTAGATGGGGTCCCTTGGCCTGGCCTGCGGGGATCAGGCCAAAATCAGCTCTCCCACATCCTCCACGGGGTCCCAGAGTACAAGAGGGCACTCTGCAAAGTTGCTATCATACAGAGTGTGGAATGCGAATGCAAGTGTGCAGTAAACCAGATTCAGGGTCAACAGTGCCCCAGGAACAACATATCTGACGGCTGAAGGTAGAATTACGCGGCTCTGTGAGAAATTGGGCTCCCTCTTCTCTGGTTTTGGGGTGCATCACCAGAGAACTGCTGCTGCCAAGTGACTGCAGCTCAGCAGCCTCTGCATTGAGTGTCTGCCCCCTAGTTGTCATTGTGCATCACAGTGAACAGTCGACGGGCAGAGGGACACTTAGCATATTAGCCTCTTATATATACAAGTATAAAATGAAAAATTTTAAGTCATATTAAAATCTCACCTACTGAACGATTGGAAAGGTAATGCCGAAGACTGATATTGCCTAATTGATCCGGTGTCACTTGGTCCACTTGAAGACAGATTTCTGTATCTTCCCCTCGGATGTGAATTTCCCCATTAACACCAGTAATTTTAAACATCACGACTGACATCTAACAATGATTACATACATAATATTAGTATACCAAGTACTTAAAACAAAATTTTTTTAAATAACTCAGGAAACTACAATCTCTAAAAATATAACTCAGGCCTAATAGACCAAATATATACTTGTGATAAAAAAAATGTAGTTACTATATTATTGTCATAAATTTCAGCCATTTTTCTTCTTACTCAATCAAAAGAAGAATTTTTTTAACACAAAGACTAATTACATGACATTTCCATGTGAAATTATTTTAATTAAAAACTAAAGATATTTTCTAAAATCACCCACAGAATATTTCACTGGGTGAAGAAGGCTTAATTAAACCAATAATCTACTTCTTTTGTAGAAAGCCCCTCATAGGAACTATCAACCTGATCATCAAACTTTTTCACAGTATATTTAAATTGAAACTAAAAGTTGAAAAATAAAAGATGAAAAAAAGATAGAACCTCCCCTCCTCAATAGAAAAAAACAAAACTTTTAAGTGAAATTTAGAGAAAAATAATTCAGTAAGATGAATTTTTCAAGAACAGAAAATGAGTTTTCAAGAGAGAACAAAGTGAATTACCCACAATCTAATCGTTTTATATATTAATGTCTTAACATGTGAACACATTAAGTTGGCATTTCTCTTCCTAGAATCTCTGAAATCATTACCAGGTCATTGTGGTTTTCTTGAGCACCCTCTGAATTCGTACTGATGGCATCCGGAGAGGTTTCACCATAATTCTGTAGGTTTGCAGTGGCATTTGCACTATTTGCTGTGTTCTGATAATTTGTACTTGAATTCTTTTTAATAACTGAAATAATACAAAAAAAGTTAGTTTTACCAATGATCCAAAAATGTTACATTTATCTAACCAAAATTGGCTATTCCTTTAAATTTTTCCTAAGCATAGCCTTGTTTAAAAGACAATAAACAAAGAAAAATTAAATTGTGATTAGTAAGCAAATAATAAGAAATAACTTCCTAAAATAAAATGTTAGAGATATTTAAGCCCTAAACGTAGACAGTCTGAAATCCATCACAGCTGACTTCAGCCGGTGTTCTCCGTGCAGGCACGGTGCTTCTGTAACTAGCAGGTTCGTGGTCAGTCAGCGTGGCCTGCTTTACTCTGTCCTAAATGGGATAATTCCAGTCTGACCACTTAATTTTTCTTTTAGTACCCTACAGTAGTTTCTAATGATCTTCTGCATGAAGTTAATTCCACTACCATCAATGTAATAATTCTCCACTCTTATCTACCTGCCATACTTTCTCAATGTGCTGTATTATTTCCATACTTCTCAAATTCTCTGAGGTAAAAGACAATTTTTTTAAGTGTCTGTCAGAGATCAATTACTAGAAAAATTAGTAAATTACTAGAAAGATTAGAAAAACCAAAGATATACAAAACATGGTCTCAATGTTTTTATTATTATATTTGATACCATATAATAAGCTTCCATGAGAGAATCCTGCTATGGGACTAAGTAGATACAGTCTGGACTGCAATCCTAGGACCACATACTTAAGGATCTTTCATGCTAATTAAGGTTACCAAATCAACATTTCACATATAGAAATCTCTGTAAGAGAGCTGGTAGCCTAAATGCTATCTGATTTATGATCTACTAGAGGCCTGGTGCATAAATTTCTGCACAGGTGCAGGCCGATCTGGCAGAACAGCTGAGGGGAGGGGCCGCAGGCAGTTGGCTAGTTGGCCCCACTGCCTGGTTGAACTCCCAGTCGGGGGGACAATTTGCTCAGCCTTTCATTATATAGGATATACAAATAATTGCTAGCTGTCAGCCACACAAAAAAAAGAGAAATATCCTGTTAAAAGAAACACATGTAAGATACATATATATATAATATAAACACTTTATTGAATTGCTTTACCTTTTTCCAGAAAACTATCACTTCCATCACTTTCTAACAACTGATCTTCCAATATCATGCTGTCAAGTGAAATAGTATCCAATGAGGTTTGTGAGGAGCTTCTTTTTATGTTCTTGTAAGACGTACAGTGTGGAGCCTGATTCGGTGGGCAGGGTTCCTTAGGCTTCCCACTGTTAACAAAATTATTAGAAGATCATCACATGTAAGGTTAAAAAAAAAAGTCTTTCTAAAAAACATCTCAAGCCGAAACCGGTTTGGCTCAGTGGATAGAGCGTCGGCCTGCAGACTGCAGGTCCCAGGTTCAATTCTGGTCAAGGGCATGTACCTTGGCTGCGGGCACATCCCCAGTAGGGAGTATGCAGGAGGCAGCTGATCAATGCTTCTCTCTCATCTATGTTTCTAACTCTCTATCTCTCTCCCTTCCTCTCTGTAAAAAATCAATAAAATATATATATTTTTTAAAATACCTCTAACAAAATAAAAATATGTATACAGTATCCACAAATTTATAAATTATATTTTATATAAATATAACCTCAAAGTATTTCCATGTTTTGAAAAACCTGCTCTTCCATGTAACTCTAACAATGCCATATTTTGCCATGCGATTTTAGATCCAAAACCAAAATACACTCACAAACTCCCCCACCCCCTCCCAATAGCACACTGTTACCTTAAAGATGACTGTGTTTTAAGTGTTCTCACTGTGGGTGCTTCTTCTTTATTGAAATCCAGATTCTCAGTGAGCGAAACTGTTTCTGGCAGCAAATCTTCAGCTTTAAAGATCGACTTTATGGTTTCATTTCTTTTATTAGTTAAACTACTTGAAAGCACATTTTGATTACCATCATTATCAAGTGACAGTATGCCTGAATGTTCTCTGTAGTTTAAGACACTATTTGAATCTGCATAAGATAAATTCCTTTTGTCTGTTGTTTCTAAGCCAATTTCCTCTGAGCCACTTTTGCAAAGAATTCCACTACTTTCATCTTCACTTATTTTCTCTAAATTTTTATCTGACAAATAATCCAGAAAAGAAATATCTTTTTGCAGATTTGTATCACTAGCTGATTTAAAAAGCAAAGGATCCTTCAAAGGGACATGGCTAAGGTCAACACTCATAGATCTGTTCTCTGACATATGATTAACAGTTACACTTCTATTTTGATTGTTACTATTACTAGCTTGTTTCCTTTTTGAAGATAGGAATCCTCTGTTTTCTGTAGGCAAACAATCAGGAATTACTGGGTTCACACCTCCAGAAACAGGAGACTTAAGAGTGTTTGCTTGATCCACTGGATGCAATAAAAGAGCCACCTCTGCACTTTTAAGTAAAATCCCAATGCAAACGGATGTCTGACTCGCAGGACTGCCAGTCACCGCTTCTACATCGTTCCTTAAGTTCTCTGAAAGCAGGATAAGTGACTCATGGAGGAAAAGCAAGAACAGATACTGGTAGTGATTGATCTGCATACTGACGTGCTTATGAACATGAACCAGGACGTGAATATCTGCATCTGAGGAAGAGGAAAATCTTAAAAATGTATCGGAAGATTTCTGCCTACCATTCATTAAGGGCTCAGACTCTGTGCTGTAATAGTCCTTCAAAAGCTTTTTCCGCTTCCATCGGCCAGTCAGGTCACTAGATTCACTTTGTGATGTATTTAGAGAGATTTGATTACAAGTCTGCAGCTCTTTTTGAGACAGTGCAAACCTTGTTGGCTGACAAATCCAGAAGGAAAGAGGGAAAGAGTCTACAAAACTTATTGGTCGTCCTTTTCCGCTTTTCATCCCTTCATAATCTATCCAAAACTGAGAAAAGTACACAGCCCAAACATCTGTGGCAGCAGAAGTTTTAAGAGTGTGTTTATTCAACTTGGGAGTAATATTTCCTTTATAAACTTCATGCATTTTGGTATCTTGTTCATGAGCATGTCTCTGGAAGATAGGATGTAGAAGATTAAAACTGTCACCTGACTTGGGGAAGCTAGTATATGTTTTACTGAAAAAGTCACAATCTTTAAAGTCTTGAAACAAGGCTTCTAGGTCAGAATGTCGACAGTTTGGACAGTGCCTTGTATTTGTGGCAATCATTTCAGAACTCTGAATAGAAATTGCATGTGGTTGATCTTGATGACATTCAGATTTCATTTCAGAAGGAATAACAACCTAAAAAAGAAAAAAATATTTTTTAAAAATAAAAATATATTAAAAATCCATATAAGACAAAATAACCAAGAACATGACTTAAGTCAAGAATTCTTTTTGACATTACCACTCAAAATACTAGTTTCCTATCCAGATATAAAATATTCTCCCCCCAAAATCTTCCTATTAAGTTGAGTAAAAAGGACTTAAGTGATTTACCACTAAGAAATGCTTGAAAAACAAACATAATAAATAATGTGCATGACAAACAAATATATTTGCATATAACATATCACAAAGTTAACAAACTTTAAATTAAATCAGTACTATTAAATGTTTACTATGTTCTGAGTACATATAAGAAAGTGCCAAGTTTAAAAAAAAGAAATTTTTAAATATATTTTTTAGGTTCAAGGAATTTGGAGGATGAACAGATGAGTAAATGGAATGACTCCACTGAGGTCAATTACTTTTCTGGGAGAAAATTATTAAGAAAATAAACTTCAGTGAATAGGTCCAACTATTTACTAAAATAATTTTCCAGAGATAATTAATCCCAGTGCTTAAAATACATCAAAGAGTTCAAAGTGGTTGTTTTTAAAACTTTCCATACTCAGAAAATGTAAAGATCATAATATAATTGTATCTTAAATTATAATTATGTCACACAACGTGTTTCTTATATTGAATATTTTAAGATCTTTGAAACATTTCTGCACTGTAATTGTTAAGTATTATTAATCTCATTTTACAGAGAATTAAAGGTACATAAATTTAGTCTTCCATCAACACTGAAATTTTCATCCATGCCCAAGTCTTATTCTATTTACTAAACTGTTGTCGTTTTTTTAATTTCCTTCCTTTAAAGTTTAAATATCCATGGGATTCAAACTACCAGTTACCTTGCTATAATATAAGGCAACTTTCTATTGCCTTTGGGTATTAATAATAGAATAAGTGTGAATAAATAATTCTTAGATATAATTTTAAAGCTTCACTGTATTATTTACTCTCCTTAAAACAAAATTTTATCAGTTTTGGTAAGAAATACGAAAAATAAAATGACTGACTTATACTTCTACTGATTAAGTGGAAAGCAATGAAAAATAAAAGAAAGATAAAGCAGGAAAAAGTCTCTTAAAGCTTCTATAATTGAAAATCAAAATTGAAATTTCAAAATCAAAATTAAGATCACATGAAGCTGATTTAAATTGAGCACCCCTCTTAAATCCTGGAAATTAAAATGGTGTTAACTTTTCTTTCATAGAATTGTGTTTTTTTTTCTCATAGTCACTTGTTTATATGGTACCTTTAGCATTAAGCCATCGACTCGAATATCAACATGCTCATCAGATTTTGAATTGTCATTCAACTTGTATATAGCCATAAATTGACTAAGGCTCTGTTTTAAATCCAATAGAAACTGATTTAACCACAGAATACTTCTTTCATCCACAGTAAACTGTAGTGCATTCAGCTGGCTATAAAGGTTGGGAGATGGAACTGTGGAGAAAAAAATTTTAAAAAGATTTTTAATAAACAGATAGTTCTTAACCTTCCCTGAGAACAGAAAAGACATGTTTAACAAGTTTTATTCTTTTTCAACTTAGGTAAAAAGATTTTCAGATGTTCTTTCCAAAACTAAAGTGACATGTGTGGATTGATAGCAAACATGTTTAGATAGACAAAAACAATTGTTTGTTTCACTAACTAAAAATATATATAATTTAATCTAAAACTAGCTATATAAATGGGAAATACTGTTTATATCTATTTTCCTAATGTGATAGTCACCAATTAGAAAACTTTAAAAAAAATAACCTTACCTTTTTAATGAATTATGACATCAAAGATGTGATCTTTATTTAACCCCTTATTTCTATAAGGATTTTTACTACCTGAATCTGAATAAAAATCCTCCACAATGAAAGAACCAAGTCTTAATGATTAATTTCTTATGAAAGTGGTAAACCAGGCAAGTCTTCTTGACAGGAGGGACCACCAGTGCAGTTTTATTCTCCCCTTAATCATAAACCTACCATAGTGCTCGATGCAAAGTGAAAACTCAATTATCCCTTAAATGATCAAATGAATACTCTTTTTCATAGCTATCCAAAATAGAAAAATGCCTAGTAAGGGTTGATAAATGTTTTAGTGACAATATAAGTTCAAGTAGTATTTATAATAAGAGTGTACATTATTTCCTGAAATCCGCATATATTTGTATCATAAAAGCTAATATTACTTTCAGACCATTTTGATGAAGATATCTTATTCTAAATATTCAAACCTATTTACTTTTACCAAAGCAAAGTAGTATGTATATCTAGGAATTTTAAACTATATTAATTTAAGGAAAATAAGCTCAAGTGGTGGTATACCAGTAAAGATAGCATTACAACAACGTCCTGAATAGGATTTATTTGCCTGCTTTCCTTCCTTCCTTCCTTCCTTCCTTCCTTCCTTCCTTCCTTCCTTCCTTCCTTCCTTCCTTCCTTCCTTCCTTCCTTTCCCCTTCCCTCCCTCCCTTTCTCCTTCCCTTCCATATCTCTCTCTCTCTCTCTTTCTCTCATATCCTTTCTTTTCGTAAAGATTCACTGAATGGCCGAAACCTGTTTGGCTCAGTGGATAGAGCGTCGGCCTGCAGACTGAAAGGTCCCGGGTTCGATTCCACCAGTCCATCAGAGCAAGTATGCAAATTAACCCAACAAAGATGACAGTTAATTTGCATACGTGGAGGGGGGAGGAGTGAAGACTGAAGACAGCATAGAAGGAAAAGGGAGGGAAAATGGAAAGCAAGGCGACTACAGCTGCTGGAGGGAAAGCACTGATAGCGCATGAGGGCGAGGCATGCAGTGGTGGTGGCAGCACATGTGGCCACGGAGATGGTGGAAGCAGTGGCCACGAGCATGGTGGGACAGGTGGAACGGGCAGGGCACATCCCGCCCCACCCACCGCAGCGGGAGAGGTAGGGGGACAGGAGAGGTAGGGGGACAGGAGAGGTGGGAGTGGCAAGAAGGAAGCCTGCTGGAAGTCTTGCAGGAATATTCCTGCAACAGATGCCTGGTACTATATAATAAAAGGCTAATATGCAAATAAACCGAACAGCAATACAACCAACCAACCAGTCACTATGACATGCGCTGACCACCCAGGGCACATGTGAAACATGGTAGTGGGATGGTGGACCAGGTTTTTGAGGGGAGGGGTGCCAGACCAAGGCGGGGCGTCAGTCACTGTCAGTGGGGTGAGCCTCTGGTGGTTACTGAAAACTCTTTGCTCCCGCACACTGTGGTCCCACCTGGCACTTGCACCTGCTGTCGGCTCCAGAGCCTCCGCTCTGTTGTTTAAACCACTCAGCGTATACTTCTTTGTTATGGCAGTGCTAGCACACTAGTACATGTAGGTATTAGAAGAAGTTGCTCTAAATTGTAGGCTCATGGGCTATTATTTTTACTTTTGGAAATTTATAAAAATAATAAACATATTACATTTATAATTATTTTTTAAAGTTGTATGTCTTTAAAGTTATATAGCTTAACAGAGAAATGAGACATAAGGAATGAAAGTGGATCCCTATACATGGGGATTCAGTATACTACCCGCTTTACATTTGTGTGTTTGAAAATTTTCCATAATAAAACCAGTTAAAACATAACCTAGCAATTCCACTCCTAGGTATCTGGGTGTTTAGGATTTAAATTGCTGGGGGGAAATTTTATATTTATGTCAGAAAAAATATATAGAGAGAGATTATAGAATGAGATTTTAATTCCTTTGGCACATGTTAATAAAACTGACAGAAATAAGCCTAGATTAGAAGTTAGAAATCCTGGAAACTAGCCTTCACTCTGAAGAAAAATTAGTAGTTCGATGATGCATTTTCTAAGGAAAACAATTTTAGGAGGTGTGGGAGAGGGCTGGAAACAATAGGACTACCCAATAATAGACAAATGGCTGTAAATGCCCTGGGGAAACAGTGGGGAGAAATGAATTTCGATTTAGAAGACCCATGCTTGAGTTTCAGCTATGCCATGCTACTTTTTCTAAGGGGCTGAGCAAATATCTTGATCTATCTTAATTTTCTCATTATTTTAGTCAGGAAGGTAGAGGAAACAAACAAATGAGAAACACACAAAAGACTGTTGAAATACATAAAACTGTGAGGATTAGATCCCAAAATCTGGCACAAACAAAAATTAAAGTCATAAAATAGCTCTATGTTTCTTCAAAGTAATTTCCAAGGCACCCCCTTTTGTTTTTAAATATTTTTAAATTGATTTTTAGAGAGAGAAATATTGATGTGAAAGCAAAACATTGATCAGCTGCCTCCTGCACACACCAGCCAGAGATTTAGCCTGCAACCAGGGCATGTGCCCTGACTGGGAATTGAACCAGCCAGGTTTCGTGATGTGGGATGACACCCAACTGAGTCACACTGTCCAGGGCAGGCTATCTTCCTTTTATGAACAACAAAGGCATGAGATCAGAAATCCCCTTTGAAACTAAGAACCTATCTTAAGTCAATATTAAACAAATGGGTACAGTAGGTCAAACTACTTTGGGAATCCTACTCTTAAAAAGAGGATGTAAAATTGTTTTCCCCCTATAACATAACCTATTTCATTTAAACACTTCTATTCAAGTATGATTTTTAACTGCAATAATGAAAAAGGTACCACATAAACAAGGCAAATTTTAATTTGAAGGACTCCTAGATCAATGGAGACAAACAAAACAGAATTTTAACCTTCAAAGAATACAAATGTATAATAATTTTAATTTTAAGCAGCGAAAGTAGGTTACAAATAAAAATTCATGTAATATATGTTTAACTAAACACAAATAAAAACTCATGTAATATATGTTTAACTAAACATAAATGACATTAAAACCAGGCCAAAAAATTCTCTGTAGCTAAAAGGATAACTTCATTATTTATTTTTTCAATGAAATACAGTTTTATATTTATATGGCAGAAATATAAATGGCGTTTTACTAACGGGGGAAATTTATTTCATTCTATAAATAGACTGTCATTAAACAGTCACCAAGTATAAAAATAAGTAAAACTTCAGGGATAAAATGAAGCACGAATACCACATAATTCCTGACATCAGGTATCCTACCAGCTAATGAGGGAAAAGAACATAAGAACAAATAATCTTATATAATAAAAGGGTAATATGCAAATCAACTGAAAAGCAGAATGATGAATAGCTATGATGCACACTAACCACCAGGAGCAGAAGCTCAGTGCAGGAGCTGCCCCCTGGTGGTCAGTGCGCTCCCACAGGGGAAGCACCTCTCAGCCATGGTGGCAGTGCTATGCAGTTCTCACTGCCATCAGTCGGACATCCCCTGAGAGCTCCTGGACTGCAGACTGAAGAGGGTGCGGGCTGGGCTGAGGGATCCCGTGCACACGGGCCTCTAATAATATATGAAAATGCTATACTAGAATCGTATACTACACACAACGATAACAAGAGTAAAGAACAATGACCTTTCTTTTTTTACATTTAGAAAACTAAAAAACTTAGCAAAAAAAAAAAAAAACTTCCCAAGTAATGAACAAATTATAAGAAAATAGGAAACCCTCTTACTTGGAAAATCCTTTCCATCTGGATAGTAATATTCTGTGAATTCTATATAGACAGCTGACATTTCTTGTGGAAGATACAGGGATTTTTTATTGCAAGAAATCATACTTTTTGGGGAAGAACGACATTGTTCTGCTGTAGAGACCTAAAAAAATAATTAAATTTCCTAAAGTAACACTGAGTATCAAAGCCCTTTCCAAAGAACTTATGCAGCTTAAACATCACCTCAAACTCTTAAAACTGCTTCCAATAACTTATGAACAGTCAATTGCCAATAAAAATTTTATTATATAATTAACTACACATTAAGTTATTTTTAAATCAACTATTCAGAAAACTATAATCTCTTTGGAATATTATCAATTATAAAATCAACTTGTACAACATTCCTTGCAAACTTATTGTTTTGAGCCTTAAAATAATAGATAGATTATTTCTATTATAAGATAATACAAATAAGTCAATGGCAGGTTCTGGACATAATTCTAAGTCAAGGTTAAAAAGCTCCTCTAATATATACTTTACAATAATTCTCTACTCAAATTTCTTTATTAAGAAAAGTATTATATATAGTTTTAGTTTGAGATGATAAAAAATTATGAAGATAAACAGTGGTGATAGTTGTACCATAATGTGAATATACTTAATGCCAATGAACCAAGATGGTTCATTGGCATTAAGTATATTCAGATGGTAATTTTAAGTATATTAAGATGGTAATTTTTGTGTTATATATATTTTACAATAAAAATAATACAATTATGCTTCTCAAATTCTTTAAATTATTAAAAATATACTATTAGTTTTAAGGTTCTCATTCTCACCCCAAAACTGATGATTTATAATTATATTAAAAACTTATATATTAATTTCCCCAAAATTCAACCAATAGAGTTTTATCAATTTCACTTATTTATGCTTACTTAGTAGACTAAAGATGTATCTACAAGTTATTTTTTTCATTCATTCAACAAACATGTATATTTCTCACACAAAGTGAAATGCTTTTTCAAGTTTGTTTTCTCTTATGTAAATTGCTAATCAAACCTTTTGATTATTTGTAGTCGAAGCTTTTCTCTACATATATAAAAATAAATCCTTTTCAAGTCAAAGTGTCAAGTTATTTTGATAGTCAATGGCTTATTCCCATTTTCCAATAATAGTTAGAAAGTTATTAAAAATGGAATGAACATTCAATTTTATTTTCTTCTAGTTACTGTGGTTTTGTTTTCGTGTATTCGTATATGCGTAATTTCTTTACTATATTTCACCTTCAACCATTTGAGATTATGAGTAATTCATTGCCATCTAAAGTCTGTTTCAAATGAAATGCACTATATATAAAATGTAAAGAAAGAAGCAATTGCAAAATAAAAATAAAAATAAACCCTTAAACCCAAAATTGGCACCACTTAAGGCCAGATAATTCTTAGCTGTGGGGGCCATCCAGTACATTGTACAAAGTTAAGCAGAACCATTGGTTTCTACCCATTAATGTCAGTAGCAACCTCCCCCAACTGTGACAACCAAAATGGTACTCAGGCAATGCCAAATATCCCCGGGGGAGCAAAACTGGCCTCCACTGAAAACCAATGAGTAAAATGAAAAGCTTTTCATACAAAATTAAGTTTAAAGTCATATGCTTATCAAAATAAATGAGAACATTTCATAAATGCTAAAACACATCTGGAATTCTTCCTTTTATTTTTAAAAATACATCACATATTCTATTGTATTGGTCTGAAGGATGTGAGGTTAGACCATGTTGTGAGATTACAGCCTGAATAATATTTTTAGTGGAAATAGGATATAGAGTTCTTAGTTATAAAATTATGTTCAGCCGAAACCGGTTTGGCTCAGTGGCTGAAGGGTCCTAGGTTCGATTCTGGTCAAGGGCATGTACCTTGTTTGCGGGCATATCCCCCGTGGGAGGCATGCAGGAGGCAGCAGGCCAATGTTTCTCTCTCACTGATGTTTCTAGCTCTCTATTCCACTCCCTTCCTCTCTGTAAAAAATCAATAAAATATATTTTTTAAAATAATAATTAATAAAATAAAATTATGTTCACTGTATAGATAATACGTGGTAGCTTAATAAAACAAAAAGATATTTTAGTTTCTTCCACTAAGACAACTGTGTAATAAGGAATCTGGACTACAGAGAGAAATCTGGCCTTTGTTCCTGCCCCTGAGACGCAATTCTAAGCTACTGGAATTTCCTATTCAAGGTGGATGACCCTGGGACCACAACATGATAGTTTATGCCCACAAAATGTCTCAGAATGGGACTGGCCACATTTTGATTGCCTTAGTACTGTCTAGAGGGTGGACATCTTGGGTCACGGGATTATCAGTCTTTCTAGAGACTGACTTCAACTATGTGGGCAATATTTCATGCATACTGTTACACGTCCATGTCAAGAGGCTAAGGTGTCCTGAGGAGAAAAGCAAGATCTGAATTTAGAACCCTCCCAGGCTCCAGGTTAGGCTCTCCTGCTATGGCCGGTTCTAATCTGCATTCTTTCCCCTGTAATAAATGTGACTCTGCAGTTGATTTCAGCGAGTTCTGTGAATTTTTCCAGGGAATTCTCCAATCAGTGGGCAGCTTATGGAACCCCTAAACGTGCAATTGCTATCAGAAGTCTGGTGCAGACTTGGCAATTTAAAGGAGTCGAGCTTAACTGCACAATGTGCCTACTCCTGGGAAACTATACACACAGAAATTGATGAACTAATATTTTCTATCCTATCTAATTTAGTCACTTCACAAAACTAATCAAGATGTTTTAAAACAAAATGGTTGCATCAGTTTAGAAAAGTTGCTTGCAGAAAATACTAGACGTATTTATCAGAATATTTAATTTATAAAGTGAAACATACCTGATATATATTGAAATCTGCAAGTCTAACCACAATAGAACTAGACATTAACTTAACTTTGGACTGTTGAGAAAATACTGAAGGTATTCTGGGAGTCCCTTTCACAGCTGAGTCTTTCTCTGTGGGAAAGAAAAAAATCCTCTCAGTTTACTGTAATTTTTTTTTCTAACAGTCACTCTTACTATTATGACAGCTACTAAAAATAAAGATAAAACTCTTGATTTCTCAAATGAGATATGTGAAAAAACTTTATATATAAATTGATATAAAAATATAAGTTATTGTAATTATTTTTTCATGTTGATCATGCCTAAACTAGGATTCACATCACATTTAAGGTACTCTCATGTGATAATTTTTGGCTGAAATATTTATTAATAAGAGAAGTCTTACCATTTAAGAGTCAAATATTCTATCTGGGTATTAGTCTTATATATTTTTAAAAAGTGCTTTGTTCCTTACACCTATGGTCTGAATGAGATGAAGGATTTTCATACACTGTTTAAACACAATACTTAGTCACAGAAAATAACATTTTATGAACCCACACACATACACATACACACACACACACTCAAGGTAATGCCATCCTATCTAATAAAAGGGTAATATTCAAATTAACCATCACTCCAACACACAAGATGGCCCCACCCATGTGGACACAAGATGGCCAGCAGGGAGGGCAGTTTTGGGCGATCAGGCCAGCAGGGGAGGACAGTTGAGAGGGAGCAGGCTTGCAAGGAAGGGCAGTTGGGGGCAATCAGACCTGTAGGGTATGGCAGTTAGGGGTGACTGGGCCAGCAGAGGAGGGCAGTTGGGGGTGATCAAGCCTGCAGGGAAGGTCAGTTGGGAGAACCAGGCTTGTAGGGGAATGCAGTTGGGGGGTGGGCAGGCCAGCAGGGGAGGGCAGTTAGGGACAATCGGGCCAGCAAGGGAGCAGTTAGGTTTCAATCAGGCTGGCAGGGGAGTGTTTAGGGGGTGACCAGGCTGGCAGGCAGAAGCAGTTAGGGGCAATCAGGCAGCCGAGTGGTTGGGAGCCAGCGGTCCTGGATTGTAAGAGGGATGTCTGACTGATTCCAAATCGGGCCTATACGGTAGTCGGGCATCACTCAAGGGATTTCAGATTGGAGAGGGAGCAGGCTGGGTTGAGGTACCACCCCATTCCCCTGCATGAATTTCATGCACAGGGTCTCAGTAAATACAATATCAAAGGAATGCCATTTACACAGTATCTGGGGAATGCCATAATGTTGTTATAGGTAAAATACCTGTTTGTGTGTGCTGGGGAGAGGCATGTGTTGGGGATTTAGGAGGTGAACCTACATTATGGTCCTTTATAGCCTGTTTAAGCATTTCAACGTTGCACTCAAATTCATGTAACAACTCGTCGGCCCATCCATTTTTTGTCTTGGTTGCATCACTAAAATACATCCAATGATTACAACTATCTCCTGTAAAATGAATAACAAAAAAATTACACTGAAAAGTTCACCATTTTCATTTATTCTATTATGCTTTTAATGAGATGTATTCATATTCTCAAGAGTTTCTTCAATTTCCCAATAAATTTATAGCTTTTACCTACTACAGATTTTAATATTCCTAGAAAATATGAACAAACATTTGGAATAGAGTGAAAGAAGATCAAAATGAAATAATTTGGGAGGATTTCCACCTAGAAGCGACCCTTGCTAAAATGTCCCTCAAAGTTTCCAAGTTTCCAACGGAAGCAGCACTGCTGGTGGTACCTTCACTGAATGCTCCACCACCTGGCATAGCTCTACCACACAGAATCACAGAGAACACCAGCAAAAAAAAAAAGAAAATAGTCTTTTGCCGAAATCGGTTTGGCTCAGTGGATAGAGCGTCGGCCTGCGGACTGAAAGGTCCCGGGTTCAGTTCCGGTCAAGGGCATATACCTTGGGTGCGGGCACATCCCCAGTGGGGATGGTGCAAGAGGCAGCTGATCAATGATTCTCTCTCATTGATGTTTCTAACTCTCTATCCCTCTCTCTTCCTCTCTGTAAAAAAATCAATAAAATATTTTTTTTTAAAAACCACATACCACCAAAATGCAGAGGTGTGCACAAGGTCAAATTACTTAATTTGGCCATAAACATTCATTCTTTTACTTTTATTAATTATTTGAGGTGAAGAGCCTATCAATATATAATTATTAAGAAGCCTAATTAAATCTTATTTACTGACAAGACTTCAAAAATAGAGAAAAAAATTTTTTAATGTACCTGGATTTCTAGGACTTAGCTAAAATCTTTGTTATCCTTTTGCTTTAAATTCTTTTTTTTTTAATTTTTTTAATATATCTAAAAATATCATTGAAAAATTCAAATATATTAATAAACTTTTTGGGTAACAATTAACAAAGTAGCACAAATATGTATCATCTGTATTATGATTTTTTTAAGTTTTAAATTAATTATTTAGATTATTGACAATTTCTAACAATTATACTTTCTAATAATCTAAGTAAACCTCAATATAAAAAATGCATGGATATTTCTATGGCAATTATATTTTCTTGGTAAGATACTATGAGGGGAGAGGGGAATAAATGCCTTGATCTCCTTTTTCTTTAAAAATTACATTAGCTCTCTAAGTGTGAAGAAGAAAGCACTCCGTCAGCAGAGGTCCTGACACACAAGGAGAATGAAAGGGCAGGCTTTCTAGTGCAGTTTGGAGAAAAAGAATAGATACAGATGGAGCTTATTCTGAAAAGAGCAGGAAAATGAATAAGCTAATTGAGCCCAATGTCTTCACTTGAACTCTAAAAAAAAGAATGAAGTGAAGACTTCTATCAGGGGAGAGGAACAAGCTGGAAATACAACTGAAATATGGAAAGACTTCCTGAATAATCAACAGAAAACTCACAGGAGAGAACGCTGATGATACCCAAGAACCAAAGGTAGAGACCACACAGAGATTGGAATGAGGGGCACAGGCAACAAAGGGCTGGCTGGGCACCCACAGGTGGCAACTGAAGTCTGAGAGAAATATCTCAGCTGTGGTGGGGAGCCACTGAGAACTCTGGGATCTGATCCCGAACCTGGGCTCCCCAGCAGAGAGCAAAACATAGCATCTAGCTGTGAAAAGCAGTGGGGTGCTGTCTGCCAGAGAGAGGCAGCTGAAAGTTTGGGCATTTTTAAAGGGCCAACACACAAAAAATCCCTGTGGAACCACCTACTTTGTGCTCTGGCAGAGGGTGAAGCGGACTGGAGCTGTGAGAGAAGAATCAGGACGGGGGATTTGTGAAAAGGAACTCAGAAGACAGACACCCCAAGTTTCCTGGGCTGAGTCATTTCCTCACATAGTGGACATCTTTCCCAAATAGACATCTGCCCAGTCTGGGGGAAAGGCAGTTGACACTTGCTATTGGAAAACATCTTGCCCTAAGGCCACTTAGGAGATTAAAACAATTAGCCTTCAGACAGAAGCAACTGTCCCACCCAGTTGAAAAAACTCTCACCTAAGGATGACTGCCTCAAGGAATCCTATTAGTCTGTAGACAGAGGCAGGCTTTGAGTTTAACACTGTCTTGCACTAAAGATTGAGAGGTGTAGAGGATTTACCTAATACATAGTCACAAACCCAAACAAATAACCAAAATGAGGAAACAAAGAAACAACCCACAAATGAAAGAACTAGTGAATTCTCCAGGAGATAAATGAAGCAGAGATAAAAAATTTATCGGAAACAGAGCTCAAAGTAATGCTGTTAAAAATGCTCAAAAGTGTGAAAAAAGATACAGTAATTATGAAAAAAAACAAACCAGTCTGAGATAAAGAATGACATAACACAAATAAAGAATACACTGGAAGGAATACACAGCAAATTAGGGGAAGCTGAGGATTAAATCAGTGAAATAGAAGACAGAGCTAAAAATATCACTTAATTAGAGAAGCAAAAAAAAAACAAAACAACAATTAAAAACCAGACGGTCAGCTTAAGGGAGCTGTGGGACATTGTGAAATGTAACAATATTAGAATAGTAAGTGTGCCAGAAGAGGCAGAAAGGGAAAAGGCATAGAGAAGGTATTTGAAGAAATAAACTCCCTAACCTTGTAAAGGAAAAAGTCACTCAAGTTCAGGAGGCACAGAGAACCCCAAACAAGAAGAACCCAAACAGACCCAAGCACAGACACATCATAATTAAAATGCCAAAAATTAAAGACAAAGAGAGAATCTTAGGGCAGCAAGAGAAAACTGTTACCTACAAAGGAGTTCCCATAAGGCTGACACCTATTTCTCATCAGAAACTCTACAGGCCAGAAGGGAATGGCATTAAGCACTCAAGATAATGGAAAGCAATGATCTAAGACCAATTATAGCAAGGCTATCATTCAAAATAGACAATCAAATAAAGAGCTTTCCAAACAAAACAAAAAAAGGCTAAAGGAGTTCATCACCACCAAGTCAGCATTATAAGAAATGCTAAAGGGATTGCTCTAAGGGATTGCTGAGAAAAAGAAACAGAGAAACCTAACCATACAGAATTGAAATGGCTATAAATCAGTACCTCTCAATAATAACCCTAAGTGTAAATGGATTAGGTGTAGGGTAGCTGAACGGATACAAAAACATGACCTAACTATATGCTACCTACAAGAGACCCACCTCAAAACAAAAGACACACAGGATGAAAGTGAAGGATGGAAAAAAATTTCCCATGGAAATGGAAAAAAAAAAAAGCTGGAGTAGCAATACTCATATCCGACAAAATAGACTTTAAAAGCATCAGACTAACTGAAATAAGCTAGTCAGAAAAAGATAAATATATGATCTCATTCATTTGTGGAATATAATGAACAACATAAGCTGATGAACAAAAATAGAGCCAGAGGAAAAAAATATTCTAGAATGTAATGTAAATAATCCTGTTATTTGCAGATTTTCAATATTTCCTACAAGGTTGATGAATATCATGCTATGTTAGTACAGTTTTTACTTAAAATCCTTTTATTCTTGAAATATTAATGTATATTACATGTAATATTATATGTAAGATCATTTTTCTTGAATAACTGGTATTTATTGCATGTAGCATCATATTTAAAACTGTTTCTTGAGATGTTTATTGCATGTAACATTATATTTAACATCTATTGCATATAACATTATATTTAAAATCATTTTTCTTGAAAATAAAAAAACTGAAAAAAATTACATTAAAACAAAATAAAATAAATTGGTTTTATAATATAATGCAAGATTTATTTCATTTAAAGAAATTGTTTACACATACCTGCTTTGTGATAAGGATAATAATCTATAGTCAGTTTTGTAAAAGATAGCTGCATAGCCCCTCCAGTAATACGTCTATTTGACTCTGGGAAAAGAAGATGTATTTGAGAGAAAGTGAAAAGAATATTAAGCAAATATCAAAAACACTTAATTTGCCACACCTACAGCACAAACAGTAATAACTGTCTCTCTGTTATCGTGAATAATACATTAAGGATTTTAGGAAATGCAATTCAATCTAATAAATATTAAGCCCCAATCACTTGCAAGGTACTAGGCTTAAAAATGAGGATACAATCAACTTTTATATTTATAGTCCTAAACACATGTCAAGCATTGTTTTAAATACTTTAGATATAAAGGTACTTACTATTTTGCTTTTCATAACAACCCTATAAGATAGGTACTGTTATTAGTAGTATGCCCATTTTCTAAATAAATTAAGATACAAAAAAATTAAGTAAAACAGGCCAATGTCATACAGCCAATAAGTATAGAGTTGCTTTTGAAGCCAAGAAATATTTACTACTACACTATACTATCTTTTCTCTTACTGAAGAAGAAACTGAGTCTATTAGGTTGCATAAGTTGTCCAAGATCACATAGCTAAATTAAGGTCAGAAGTACCTAAATTAGTGTAACTCCAACACAAAAAATCCAATCTTAAAATAGCATGGACAAATCAAATACAAATTAAGACACAAGCTATGTAAACACTCTCTACATTCATTTGATAGATAACTCTAATTTATTTCAACCAGCAGAATTTCTGGTACAGACTTACAACCACTCATTTAAAACTCCTGGCCAACTGTTTCAGAATTCAGGTTTTTAAAAAATATTTTATGAAAGTAATATGACAGTATATATATGGCATATCATATTCTAAGCAGATTCTAGGGCAGCACTAAGTAATAAAAGATAGTAATTCTGTAGCAAAACTCCAATATTTACACTAAGTGGATAAAATAAAGATGATAAATAGCAAAGTATTTAGTTTTCCCAGCAAGTTTTTCACAAAACTAAGAAGAAACATTACAGAAATTTCTGGATTTTAGAATAGCAGAGAACTAATTACACATCTGTACAACAGCAATACTATATTTTGGTAGAGGGGCTTTTCTTTAAGTAATGTCATTCAGTTTATTCTCTGAGGGAACATATAAAGGAATGAAAGAGCTTAGAAAACACTTTTCTCTATTCTTTTCCTTATTAACTTTGACCCCTCTTTTTGTCATTTTGGCTTTGTTTTAATTTTTTGGATTTTCCTTCCAAATCACTAAAACAGAAGATAGCAACTATGCCAAATGACAAAAAAGATAGACAACAAACCCTCTCCAAATTCCAAATATCCCTCACCTTTTATGCTCCACCCTTTGATCATATATGATGAAGGCAAGATGTTTTCTACTGCTAAGTATCTAGGATTAGTCTGAATATTCACTCTCACAGCCTTAAAAATCCAGAGCAGCAATTGTCACTGTTATTCTAATTCAGGTCTGAGACACACCAGTCAGATATCCTCATTTAAAAAAAATCCCCAGCCAAAACCGGTTTGGCTCAGTGGATAGAGCACTGGCCTGCAGCCTGAAAGGTCCCAGGTTCGATTCCGGTCAAGGGCACATACTTTGGTTGCGGCATCCCAGTAGGGGGTGTGCAAGAGGCAGCTGATCAATGTTTCTCTCTCATCGATGTTTCTAACTCTCTATTCCTCTCTCTTCTTCTCTGTAAAAAATCAATAAAATATATATTTTTAATAAATAAATAAATAAATAAATAAATAAATAAATAAATAAATAAAATCCCCAGCTTGATTCTCATGCTTGCCAAAGTTTGAGAGCCATTGTCCAAAAGATAGGACTACCTGCTGAACCCTTTCAACACTATGGGCCAGGGACACTCTCTGACAGAGAAATTTCCCAGAATCTAGATTAGGGAACCACGGTTTTTCAAAGTGATCTAGAACCTTTGTCTACTATGCAGCACAGTCACCCAGAACCCGCTAACTCCCACTTGCCCGGGTGCTGTTTCTATGGTGCTCAATGTACTGCAATCTATAATGTTTAGCATTACACCTTTCACAAGCATGTATCGCTTATGAATGATAAAGTTATGACCAGTTATGTTATAGCACATATTACATAATAAACATGATAAACAATCCATTTTTATAGTAAATTCTAGAAAAACCAAAATCGTTTAAAATAAGCAGCGTTAGTCACCTTTTTCTTTAGCATGAATATCATCGCATATGTGCAGGTCCAGATGAGAAATCACTAAATGATGGGAGGTTTCTTTGACATCGAAGTCACTGAACAGTTTCACAATTGCATCATTGAGATCAGGAGCATTTGATGCCTGGGGTGACTTCACTTGCTGCGTAGATGGGGTTGCTGTGGAGCTCTAAAAGATTCAATTCTGCCTTAGCATTGCAGGTTAAACACTTGCAATTCCCACACAAGAAAACTTAAATATTCTTAGGAATAATGGTGAAAAACAAGCAAATACATTTTCTTTTGCATCTACGATAACAATTTGAATATGAATCCAAATGCTTTGGTAAATAATTGAATAGTTATATTCACATATTTATAGCCTTTCTTGTCTTAGAAAACATACTTATTACATACTATTATAGGCAGTTTATTTGACTATTATTAGTTCTATCTATTAAAGAGAAAAGAAATGTGAGTCCTGTACCATACATCAGCTGTATACTTGTACACTATGATATATCCTGTACAAATTAATCACTGCTTTGTAAAAGCACTTGTGTAAGTGCTCTAGTGCCTCTTATAAGATGTGGTGTGTCTTTGAACTTGGATATCTAAAGAAGCTAGAAAGCAGAAGAAACATAAGAGATTTTAATTTTGATGAACAAGAATAGATCCAGAGACAAGTGGCAGGGGAAGTGGGGGTTAGAGAACAACCGAAGGACTTGTATGCGTACAGATTAGCATAACCAATGGACACAGGTACTGGAGTGGAGGGGGCTTGCTCAGGGTGGGAATGGCTGGGGAGGAGGGAGAGCGTTAATTGGAGGAAAAGACATACGTAAAACTTTAGACAATAATAAAACATTTTTAAAAAGAGATTTTAAGTTCAAAAGAAAAAACACAGAATATTAGTGAAGTATATAGATATACTAGTATGTTTACTAGCTTTTTCAAGTATACAGATATACTAGTATGTGTACTAGTTTTTTCAAGTATATAGATATATTAGTATGTTTACTAGTTTTTTCAAGAGAAAAAACACAGAATATTAGTGAAGTATATAGATATACTAGTATGTGTACCTCTAATAGCCTAAAATAATTCTGCATACATATTCTGATACATTAGCCTTAGAACTGTATGTGAAACACCAATGGATGTTTCTCTCTCACATCAATGTTTCTTTCTCTCCCTTCCTCTTTCTCTATTATAATCTATTCCCCATAAACTAAACAACTAACCATTCTGATTTTTAAATCACTTACAGTAGAGTTTTTGTTCCTGTTAATTTAATAGCATACCTGTGTAGGTTCAGAAGCCATACTCTTCCTTTGTTCTGTTGACTTTTCTATTGCTTCACTAAGAGATTTTGCATATTGTACCATAGCCTTCAACTGAGAATCCGTCAAGACCCATAATAAGTCATCCAATATTAGAACTAACTTTGTTGCAATGACGTTGCAGTCCTTTAACTGTCAAAAAAAAAAAAAAAAGATTCATAAAATGAGGCCAAGAAATAGAAATTATAATGTACTTTTATTTCTTTTATTTTTGAATAGAAATATGGATCCTGTCATCCATCAAATATTTAATGAGTTCTAAAATTATGGAAAAAACATCCCTTAGTATTAGCAATACAGTGGTAAAAAAAAGACTGACAAATTCCTGTACCTAAATAGGTAAAAGCTATATAGGTACGAGTACATAAATAATTTAATTTTGCACTTAAAGGTAATAAATCATTTAATTATCTATGTTAATTTTAATTCTAGTATAAAAAGGGGCATTAAAATTCATTAAAAACTAAAATGCTAGCCGAAACCGGTTTGGCTCAGTGGATAGAGCGTCAGCCTGCAAACTGGAGGGTCCTGGGTTTGACTCCAATCAAGGGCATGTACCTCGGGTGCAGGCACATCCCCAGTACGGGGTGTGCAGGAGGCAGCTGATAAATGTTTCTCTCTCATCGATGTTTCTAACTCTCTATCCTTCTTCCTTCCTCTCTGTAAAAAAAAAAAAATCAATAAAATACATTTTTTTAAAAAAGATGAAAAGCTTAATCTTTAAAAAACAAAAAAAAAAACAAAAATGCTATTTTAACCACATATTCTAAAAAAAAATTTTCTCAATTTAATTTAGTATAGTAATTTATGTCTGGTGATACAATACATGTTGTTGAGACTTTAAGCCATGGTTAAAGTAAGCCATTACTCTTTCATTATATTTCATCATAATCCATAGTGGACTTTCAATTTCTTATATCCTTAAGTATCAATCCTCCCTATTTATCTTAATTACCAGTCATATCTTAATAATCTTCTAAAGCTACCCTGTTTCTCCGAAAATAAGACAATGTCTTTTATTAATTTTTGCTCCCAAAGATGCACTAGGTCTTATTTTCAGGGGATGTCTTATTTTTCCATGAAGAATACGGTACACATTTACTGTTAAATGAAAATAAAGGAAATTTATTACCTGTATATGGTAAGGTAGTACGGTAGTTGTCAACACAAACCAGACAAACTGTGAATCCTACATTATCAAGAATTTACTCATTTATTCAATGACAATCATGTCATCATCTTCTGGAACATCATCATAACAATCCAATTCCTGAATTTCCTGGTGAATTTCTTGTGACTCCATTTCTTTCAGAATCAGTGGACCAAATCTCTCGTTTAGCCTAGGGGGTCCTTATTTTCAGGGGATGCCTTTCACTCAGAAGGAAACTTGTAAATAAGTCTTATTTTCGGAGGATGTCTTATTTTCGGGGAAACATGGTAGTAGTTTTGGTTACTGTTTACTTACTCTTGAGCAATTTGATAGGAGAAATGTTAAAACTGTTAATGTTCAACAGTTATTTGGCAACTGAGAAATCTACTCAATCATAAAAAATAAAAATCTAAATGATAAGTCCAGAGGACTGAAAAATGTTATTATAATAGGTTTCTTCAAATATTGGTTTAGGCACTATATTTTCTTTTACTTTGCATTTTTTTAATATGCCAATATTTTGCTTAAAAATTATTTTAAATTTCCTGTCAATTCCAATAGTTATCACATGAATCACAAAGGAAACCCTGTTAACTTACTCTTCTTTTAAGTGTGACTCTGATTTTTGATTGGTTGGTTATTAATCGAACAGGTGCACACATAATTTCAAGATGTGAACTTTGGGTAGCATCTGCCTCTATTCGAATCATCTGCCAATTTATTTCTTTAAATGTCAAAACCTAAAGAGAACACAGAGATTGGCTTTACTTACTCATACAAAACAGAATGTGAAAAATGTAGATTTAAAAACAAAAAATAGAAATGTATCTCTTCCTAATTTTCATGACATTCTCGATAGTCACTATAATTTTATTTTTTGAAATTGTATTCTTCCAGCAAATTCAGTAACACATCTTTATAATTATAATCATCATGGTAAAGTTGTTAATACTTTTATTAGAAGTAATTTAATGTTACTATAAAGTATAAAGATCATTTGAATCACGGGACCAAGAATTTAAACGACATATTTTAGTTTGGTAATTGTAAAATTCAATTGTGAGTACCTGTGAAGTTAAAATAGGATTATTAGCTCTGAGTTGAAAAATTACAATAAAGATATTAAAATACGCATATTTAACAATAAGATTAAAACAGAGATAAATATCTAAAAAGCAAATCTAGTAGTATGTGATTCTAGGTTACCATAAGAAGTAATTATTTTAAATATACTCTTTTATTTATCAGGGACTAAAGTAATTTTTAAGCCAACAACAACAAAAAAATCTTTACCTCTCCTCTCTGTGGATCTTGGATACGAGTAAATCTTAAATCTCCATGCTCCCAGTTTGCATTCACACTATAGATCCGCAGCTGGGAAAGTTCAAAGGATGCATTGAAGGCTTTTGCTCCAATGCGGATGGCAATGGAATTTACAGAAACAGTGATTCCCTCAACTACTTTTTCAGCAAAGCCATATTCACTGAAAAACAAAACATAATGTGCTAAAGCCAAAAAGTCATTAAAAGAAAAAAAGTTATCTGTTAATATTCTTAAACATGTACCATAATATTTATTCATTTTGGCTTAAAAAAAATTTTTGTTTAAATAACAGCCTCGCGTGGTCACTTGTAAGTTATAAAATGCTCTTCTCAAAATGATAAAAAGATTTTTAAAATTGGAGGTTATTTCCTAAATTAAATTATTTATATCAGCATCTCAAAAAGCATCAGTCCAGACAGCAGGCATCTATAACAAATAAGAAAGCTGAATTCTTGACACAAAGAAGGATGAAGGAGCCAGTAAAATATAATTTCATAGTTTCGGAATAAGGTTAAAAAAGTTCATATTCTCTAATTCAATTCAGCGAATACTTATTGAGCATACACTACATGAACAACCCTGGGACATAAGGAAAACTAAAATATAGTTATGGCATTATAGGGCTCACAAGTTACTTGGGGAGGAAATAAAACACCCCAGTAACTAAAACATGAGGCAATTTGCAATTGTTTTTTAAAAAGGGACTCGTCAGTACATTTGGTAGAGGAAGAAATTGCTTATAACTAGGAAGAAATATATCCAGGAAAAAAAGATGAAGTTTCCAAAGGGAGAGATGGGAAGCAAGGGAAACTCTAGAATGGAGAAAGCATGAGCAAAGGCACGGATAAGTAGGAGAGCAGAGGCTATATTTTAAGAATGTTAAATAGTACAGTATAACTAGAATATAATCTACCAATATATTTTGACCAGAGGGAAGGTAAAAGTTTGCCCAACTAGTATATTATTTTCATGGTCATCAATCAATATGACTATTATTCCTAAATCTATGTCTTCATCCAGATCTGGCACTTCAGACTGTAAAACTTAAATGTCCCCTGGGCAGCAAAATTGGCCTCAACTGAAAATCAATGAGTAAAATGAAAACTAAGTCTCAAAATCATAGGCTTTTGTCTAAATCCAATTTGCAAGCATTCTTTACTTAGTCAATTTTATAATAATCTAAAAAATCTATAATTTTCTAGGCATCAATTTAACTCTTAAGAATCATAAAAGCGCCGAAACCGGTTTGGCTCAGTGGTAAAGCATCTGTCTGCGGACTGAAAGGTCCTGGGTTCGATTCCGGTCAAGGGCATGTACCTTGGTTGGGGGCACATTGCCGGTGGGGGTTGTGCAAGAGGCAGCTGGTCGATGTTTCTCTCTCATCGACGTTTCTAACTCTCTATCCCTCTCAATTCCTCTCTGTGTAAAATCAATAAAAATATATTAAAATAAAAAAATCATAAAAACTCTTTTGATGCATAGAATGATATCCATCTGATTTATAGAATGCCTAACCTGTTCTGCTTTCATTTTCTGCTACTTCTCTGCCTTTTATTGATCATTACTATTTAAATATCAGTAAAAATAAGATGAATAGTAGTAAAAGAGACTAAATTCAATCCTGCTACTTTTGTAATGTATAGTGTATACTAAAACTGTACAATCTATGATGGGAAAGGTGACTGAAAGAGAGACTGTCTGAGGTTAGTGGATTTTAATTTATGTTTCCTTACACAAATAATAGAGATGATTATAAGTAAAAATAGAGTTTAAAAGAAAACACAAAACAATGAATGCATAAATCTACCAATGATTCATCCAATGGAACAGCATATCAAGAAGGAAAAAAACAAAGATGACTCTAGGAAAGAATTCCCTTTGCCAGTCATACAGATTAATGAAAATAGCTTACCTCTGTCCTGAAGCAGTTGCAATTGGTGATGGGCCATTAGGGTTTCGTGGTTCTTCACATGTACTCATTTCCATTATTACTTTATCTAAGGACTAATAGAAATGCAGTAAAACTGTAAGCAATTAGATACTTTATTTTATGTATATTATAAAAACATTTAAGACTATGTCCTCTTTCATTTTTTTATGAGCTAAGTAAATATTAAGTGAAAGGAGTCACTTTAAGTGCCACTCTAAAGGCCTAAAGAGACAAGTATCAAAACAGAAGACAATGTACTACTCAGTCCTTTCTCAAGGCACTTACTATCTGGTGGGAAAATTGTGTGTTTTATAGGAGCATAAGAGAAAAACAGTAAGAAGTAGCCACATATTGCTGAGAAAATCATATTTTATACAAGTGCAATTTCTAATCCTAGAATGTGTTTATATTAAAAGTTAGACGCTTAGATAAATGTTTATTTCTGAAGCAATTCAGAACTCACCAAACAGATGGGATGTGTTTTTAGCTTTGTCCACGGGATCTAAAAAAAAAAGAAGTTTCTTTCTTTAAAATGAATCATTAAAAAGATGTAAAACAGTAACCAACACAGCTTCTTTCTTAATATAGTGACAGATATACCAAATTGTATCAGATGACTTCTTTCTTAAATTGCAAAATAAAATGAGCAATTCATTCATACTCTTAAAATTAGATGTATCTATCCTATATAATAAAAGGCTAATATGCAAACAGTCTGAACAGCCAAACAACTGAACAACTGAATAACCAGTCACTAGGACGTGTGATGACCACCAGGGAGCGTGTGTGGAACAGGTGGGCATTGGCCATGGTGGGATGGTGAAGCAGGTGAGCAGGGACACCAGACCAAGGACACCAGTCACTGCCATCAAGGCAAGCCTTTGGTGGTTATTTACTCCTGCACGCCACGGTCCTGCCTGGTGCTTGCACTGGCTGCCAGCGCTGGCGCTGACCCCACTTGTACCCATTGCTGATGCCGGAGCCTCTGCTCACACCCACTGCCAGTGCCTGGCGTCAGCCCCCATCACTCGGCACCATCAGCGGATGTGAGTGGAGGCTGCTGGCTGCGATCGCCCGTCAGGGCTTCTCCACCTCCCCCTGCTCCTAAGGGGTGATAGGGGCAGCAGCCGCTGACTGTGCCAGCCCCACTCACACCCACTGCTGGCCTTGGCCCCAATGGCTCTGCACCTTCAGTGGGTGCAAGAGGGGCCAGCACCATCAGCGTGTGGAAGCGGTGGTGGCAGGGGCAGGGCTGCCAGCATACAGAGGACTAGGGGGCCATGGCAGATAGGCTACGACCTGCCTCCCTGCCCACCGTAGCCTCGCAGCCCACAGTTCCTTTCAAGGTACACAAATTTGTGCACTGGACCCCTAATCTATGTATATAAAAGGATAAACGACCATCAGACCAGCAGGTAGGTATGACATGCACTGATCACCAGGGGGCAGACACTCAACGCAGGAGCCACCAAGCTGTGGTGACCTGGCAGCAGCAATTCCCCAGTGATGCACCCCAGAACTAGAGAGGAGGGAGCCCAATTCCAGTGTGTGTCACTGGAGAACCATCCTCTTGTGATCCGGGACTCCGTGGGGGATGTCAGAGAGCCAGTTTCAGCCCGATCCCTGCAGGCCAGGTCCAGAGACCCCACCTGCCGGAAGGACTCCGCTCACTCTGCAGATGACCTTCAAGTCATGTGCACCCCAGGTGCAGCTGGCTGGCCAGGAACCACTGGAGGCTGGCTCCAGGACATGTCAGGTCATCTCACCCGATCACGTCCTGATGGCCACCTTCTAATTAATTTCCTTCCAATGTGCACAAATCCGTGCACCGGGGCACTGGTATTATATAAAAGACTACTCATATGTTTAATCATTGTTTTAAATAAAAATGTTAGGTTGTCTTAAATATCTTCTTTTCCCAACCCTTAAAACACATTTTAATTTCACAATTTAGTTAAAACTTCACAGAAAAACATTATCAATATTTTGATCACTTAACAATGTTTTATATTCTATAATTCTGACCAATATTTTCATAGATATTCAAGACAAATACAGAAGTAAGGCCATTGCTATAAAATGTAGGCAATAGCAAATAAATATTATTCAAACATAACTTGCACTAAAATACCATGTCATTGGAGATATTTGGGTTTAAGGATGTTAGAACAAAAAATTAAAGAAGACTAACTTTTTTCTACAATTTTCTCATTACTGCCCAATTTTAATTTTATGAAACAAATTAGCAATCACTTTTTACACTGAGCAGACTTTAAAACAAGGCATACTCTTTAAGAACTGGAAGTGATAAGACATTAGTGTCAAAGCAAGTAGAAATAAGTTTTAATTAGTAGTAATAACAAAAGACAATTTTAAAATTCTCAAAATAATAAACAAATGAGAAAAAGAGACTAAACTTCAAATAAAAATACACAGATTAAGATAACTTATCAGTTATGTCTTCATTTAAAAGTGTTTACTTATAACAAATTTAAACTGTCACATGTGACAAATCTTTGAATATTTTACTAATAAATTTCCAATAATTTTATTTAAATGTTAATAACATTAAATGTTTTAAAAATTAAAATCTATAATTTAGTAATTAATATGTTAGCATATGACTAAATTCATAAGGTACATATTCTTGTAGTTATTTAGACTGGGGCATGGGGAACAGCCGGCCGATGGGCTGAGTAAGGTATATGAAATCATTTGGTCAGGCCCTGCCAAGGCATTAGGGGTGAGTTAACTAAATGTTTGACCAAATATAGCAGACTAATTTTTGATCATTTTGTATGACCCTCGAATGATGTTATAAATATCCAAATGGCCCTTGGCAGAAATAAGTTCCCTACCCCTGATTTAGACAAAGGTATTTGCCTTTTTAAGCCATGTTAATAAAAATGCTTCTTTATAGAATTATCTAAAGCAAAATACTTTTTTAAAAATATAAGGATGAAATTAAAAAAGAAAAAAACGAAAATGCTTTTCACACATTATCAAAATCTCACCCTAATAGATGCTTTATTACAAAAAACTTTGTTGATAGCAAGCCATGTTGGCAAATCCAACATATTCTGGAGCACCTCTTCATCCAACTCCAAATTCTTCAGTTCACCTTCTCCTTTAAGGGTACTTAGATTTATCTTGTCAGGAGATAAATTTTTAGTAAATCTGAAAGAGAATATATATTGACATTTATTTTGGCATCGGTTATGGTAGAGTCATTCTTACAAATATACAGAGCATTACAAATGTAATAGCAGCACTAAGAAACCCAAAACTGCAGTGACAAGCTCTACTCCAATCCATGTTTTTCAACATAGCTTTATTTTTTGTTTTCATCTCTGTTGTCCATAACTCTATTAGAGAAAACCTAGTATTTTTGTCATACATTTAAGTCATATACCCATATGTAATCAAGCTGTGGTTCTCACTGTCTTGCGAATTTATGAGTATTTACTGAGTATCTATTGTTTCCCAGACACTATGAAAGGCAGTGCATATCACATTTTGTTCACTTTGCTATATACTACGTCACAAGAGGGAATATTCCTATTCAGCTAACCAACCTACAAGGAAGGTTAGGAAAAATGGTACTCTTTAATAATAGGAACAGCAGTAATAGTTACCACCATTCCTTTTCTTTTTTTTCTCACTTATTTTTTAAATATTTTTTTTATTTTCAATTACAGTTGATATGCAATATTATTAATACATTAGTTTCAGGGTGTGCAACCCAGTGACTAGACATTATATAACTTATAAAGTGATCACCTGATAAATCTAGTACCCATTTGACATCATACATAGTTATTAAAAAACTAGTGACCCCCCCCAAAAAAAATTTAAAAACTAGTGACCTGGTGCATGAAATTCATGCACATTAAAAGGGGATTAATTAGAGGAAATATTTTAATATTGCTACTTACCCTTTCTCTATAATAGAAGTGTCAGAGATGAAAGAAATTTAGTAAAATATATATGAAAATCTTCCTTCTGACAGAGTCTGGGGCTCAACACAGGACCCATTGTAAGTCCCTGCCCCTCCATATGTGCGAGATCCAGACCCAGCCGGCCCACCCCCATTGGGCTAGATCTAGACCCCAACATGCCCCTCTGGAGCAGGGGGCACGGCCTCAGATCCCCCAGCCTGGTGCTGGGGTGGGAGATAAGGCCTGAGGTCCCCCATCAAGAACTGCCAGGCGGAGGATGCAGCCTGAGGTCCCCCGTCAAGCTCCACTAGGTGGGGGAAATGGCCTGGGGTCCCCTGCCAAGCCCTGCCAGGTAGGGGGTGCAGTCTAAGGTCCCGCAGCCTGGAACCAGGCAGGGGGTGTGGCCTGAGGTCCCCTGTCAAGCCCCACAAGGCGGAGGGCACAATCTCAGGTCCCCTGCCCAGTCCAGCGCCATGCAGCCTCAGGTCCCTGCTGATTGCTTAAGGCTTCTATCAATAACTCGGCCTCTGCTGTGTGTGCAGCCATCTTGTTATGATGTGATGGTCAATTTGCATATTCCTCTTTATTAGATAGGATTATTGACTATATTCCCTATGCTGTAATTTATAAGATAGGCCATTTGTATGGAAAATCCACTGGAAACAGCTTGGGTGGGCCAGAAGTTGAATGGGGTGGGACAAACATTGTTAGCCAGATTGATGGAGACTCAAATATGGCTCCCCTCTGCTGGCTCTGTGAGCGGAGGGCTCAGCAAAGAAACCATGGTCTCTGCCAGCACTTCTGTAGTGTAGGGGAGAAAGCTACAGTGTCCCTGCACGAGTGCTCAGAGCAAGTGAGTACAAGTAAGTCCACATTAGCACTCCTTTTATTTTTATTGATTGATTAATTTTAGGGAAAGGAAGGGATGGAGGTAGAGAGGAAGAGAAAGAAACATCAATTTGTTGTTTTACTTATTTATGCATTAATGGGTTAATTCTTCTATCCCCTCACCGGGGGTCACCCTAACAGGGTGATCACTTTATAAGTTATATAAAGTTTAGCGTTTCAGGGCCATATTCTAACCAACTGAGCTCCCCAGCCAGGGATGGCACTCCTTTTAGAATCACCCAGTGCTTCCCAGCTTTAGAAACTGGCCCAGATCATTCTAGGAATAAATTATAGTACACACTAGAGGCCCAGTGCTGCCTCCACAGGAGCCGGGAGGGACACGCCGATTCCATGGGAGGTGGAAGGGAGCCACGCTGCTTCCGCAGGAGACAGGCTTGCTGTCTCCTCTCTCAGAAGGCTGCGGGCCGGTCCCCCTGTCCCTGTCCGCTCTGGCTCCTGGGGGCCAGCCCAAGCCGGGCCCGGCGACGAAGCAAGCATTCCACCAGGCTGCTCACACTGCCTGTTCTCAGGGGCCATCCCCCCAGGACTTAGGGACTCTGGTAGATCTGAGAGGACTGGGTGCCGCCATCTTTGTGACAGAGTGATGGTTAATTTGCATATTACCCTTTTATTAGATAGGATGACCTACCACTTCCTTAAGGCAGAACTTTAGAGCTAGAGACGGACATTCAATAAGAACTAATTGTGGCCAGCACCGGTTTGGCTCAGTGGAAAAAGCATCGGCCCGCGGACTGAAAGGTCCCAGGTTCAATTCCGGTCAAGGGCATGTACCTTGGTTGCAGGCACATCCCCAGTAGGGGGTGTGCAAGAGGCAGCTGATCGATGACTCTCATTGATGTTTCTGACTCTCTGTCCCTCTCTCTTCCTCTCTGTAAAAAATCAATAAAATATATTTAAAAAAAAAAAAAGAACTAATTGCGGATTCACTATTCAGATACATACAGTGACAAGCAGTACAATCAAGGTCCCTACTTTTGTGTAGGTTTCAGTTTAGTTGTAAAGATGGAAGACCAAATACGTAGACTATATGACAGAGAGAGCATATAGTAGGGAGTCTTAATACAGAGCTTCTTTAAAACAAGAACTTTTGAGATGGCATCTAAAGGATGAGAAGAAACCAACTACAGAAGGAAAAGAAGGGCAAGAAAGAGTATTTCAAGAAGAAGAAATAAAGCATCTAAAAGTTCTGAGGCAGGAGGGAGCATTGTATAAAATAGAACTAAGAAAAGATCAGCGTGTGGAATGTGGCAAGAGGGACAGGACAGTAGAAGATAAATCTAGAAGGGCTAAAAGGAGACCAATTATCCAAGGCCCTGACCATTTTGTTCATTAACTTATTCATTCAATTAATTTTAATTGATACAGCAGGTCCTCAATGTCATTCTCTTAGAACAGTATTTCCCAAACTTTTGACATATGTGTACCCCTTCTATAATTTTTGTAACGCTGAGTACCCCTCTTACTCATGAGAATGTAGAATTAGGCGCAGCTAAGCACGGTGCAGTGCATATCCCCACCAAACTCCGGTGCAACGCATACCCCCACCAAACTCTTCCCGTACCCGTGGGAGTACGCGTACCACACTTTGGGAAACACTGTCTTAGAACACTGATGACACCCCGCAGGAACTTAATTCTTATTTTTATCTATTAGCCTATGGAAAAACTGGTTTCATTATACATTCTTTTGTCACAGTTCTAAGAACCTATTGACAATATTAAGTGAGATCTTACAGTTCCTATAATTTAATAGGCACTGGGAATTTTAACAATTAACAAGATAAAAAATCTCTGTATTCATGGAGCTTAATGGGAGAGGTGAGGAGGGAGAATTACAAAATACATAGGACTAAAAAATAAGTTAAATATGTAGTAGGCTAGGTTCTGATATCTATGGAGAGAAAAAAATAAAGCAAAATAGTAAGACAGGAAGTATAAGTTGAGGACCTTCTAATTTTTTTAAGGGTGGGCAGGAAAAGCCTCATTGAAAATTTGACATTTGGTTAAAGAGCTGAAGGAAGTAAGGTGCTAGCTATGCAAATAACACCAGAAGAAAAAATGCCCCAGGCAGAGGCAAAGCAAGGACAAAAACTTGTGGAAACTTGCTTGGCATGTCTAAGGAACCGCAAGACGGCCAATGTGACCGGAGGACATGAACAAGGGCAAGAGTAAAGGGAGAAGAGGTTAGAGAAATAACAGGAGCTAGCTAAATCATGCAGGATCTTTTAAGCCACTCTAACGACTCTGGCTTTTGCTCTGAGTAAAAATGAGAGTGACTGGAGGTTGTTTTAACAAGAACAAGAGACTTTCATTTAAAAAAAATCACTTCACTGAAAAGATGTAACAGGAGGACATGGGCAGAAGCAGGGCACACAAACAGGAGGCTACTGCAACAATCCAGTTAAGAGAAGCTGCTTGCCCTACCCGGTTTGGCTCAGTGGACAGAGTGTCAGCCTGTGGACTGAAAGGTCCCAGGTTCGATTACGGTCAAGGGCATGTACCTTGGTTGCAGGCACATTTCCAGTAAAGGTGTGCAAAGGCAGTAGTCGGATATACAAATCTCATTCAGTAACTACATATAGAAATTTTGTAATCACCAGTGTTATAGATGGTGTTCATGGTTGCAAGATGGAGATGGAAAATAAAATGGCTCAAAGACTGCGGCCTGGGATCATTAAGAGGCCAAGGTGTAAGAAACCAATGAAGGAGATTAAGAAGAAGGGCCAATGAGAAAGGAGAGAAACCAGGTTTGGTTTGGTTTTCAAGTGAGCAAAAGTGGGCTTATATGCTGATGACAATCATGCAGAAAAGGGTAGGTATGTATGGGATGGGGGGGGCAGTGGTAAAATATGTACACAGGTAATAATTTAATTTTAAAAATATTTAAAAAAAATAAAAAAAAATCATGCAGAAAAATAAATCTACTATTGATGGTACCAGAAGGACAATCCTTGATCAGGAGTCAGCAGATAAAGTATACAAGAAGGTGTTGGCTTTGAATAGTTTTGACTTTGGAAAGCATGTTAATGTTCTACATATGTAAAAAGTAAAATAAAATGAGAAAACTAAAACTGGAAAGAAAAAAAAAACTGAAACTGAAACAACTGAACCTAATTGTACTTCAAAAATACTATTATAACCACACTCAAGGAGAAAACGGATAGGAAGGAAGGACAGACAAAGGGACAGATGTACAAAGACTAATTTAAATGACTCATGAACACAACACTTTACTATATATCCTGGTGTTGGGCAGAAAGGTGTGTGTGTGTGTGTGTGTGTGTGTGTGTGTATAGAAAGGGGGGGAGGTGGTTAGTGGAGAAATCAGGCA